ACCTAATTGGAGCCAGGAGTGAGCCAACCTTGACTCCAATCAGTGTGATGATATTGGATGTGTTGGTGACAGCTGTCCTGCCCTTAAAAAACACACACCTGTTTTGGGTTTACTGGTTTCAAGAAGCACTGTATGATGTGAACCATGCCTCACAGAAAAGAGCTCTCAGAAGACCTACGATCAAGAATTGTTGACTTGCATGAAGCTGGAAAGGGTTACAAAAGTATCTCCAAAAGCCTTGATGTTCATCTGTCCACGGTAAGACAGACTGCCTACAAATGGAGAAAGTTTAGCACTGTTGCTACTCTCCCTAGGCGTGGTCATCCTGTAAAAATGACTGCAAGGGCACAGCGCAGAATGCTGCATGAGGTAAAGAAGAATCCCAGAGTGTCAGCTAAAGACCTACAGAAATCTCTGGCACATGCTAACATTTTTGTTGACACATCTACAATAAGGAAAACATTAAACAAGAATGGAGTACATGGGAGGACACCACGGAGGAAGCCATTGCTGTCCAAAAAGAATATTGCAGCACGTTTGAAGTTTGCAAAAGAGCACCTGGATGTTCCACAGCACTACTGGCAAAATATACTGTGGACAGATGAAACCAAGATTGAGTTGTTTGGGAAGAACACACAACACTATGTGTGGAGAAAAAAAGGCACAGCACACCAACATCAAAACCTCATCCCCACTGTAAAACATGGCGGAGGGAGCATCATGGTTTGGGGCTGCTTTGCTGCCTCAGGGCCTGGACGGATTGTTGTCATTGATGGGAAAATAAATTCCAGAGTTTATCAAGACATTTTGCAGGAAAACGTACGACCATCTGTCCGCCAACTGAAGCCCTGCAGAGGATGGGTGATGCAACAGGACAATGACCCAAAGCATACAAGTAATTCAACAACACAATGGCTGCAACAGCACAGAATAATACGCCTTCTGGAGTGGCCCAGTCCTGACCTCAACCCGATTGAAATGCTGTGGTATGACCTTAAGAGAGCGATTCACACCAGACATCCCAAGAATACTACTACACTGAAACAGTTTTGTGAAGAGGAGTGGTCCAAAATTACTCCAGATCGTTGTGCAGGTCTGATCTGCAACTACAGGAAACGTTTGGTTGAGGTTATTGCTGCCAAAGGAGGGTCAACCAGTTATTAAGTCCAAAGGTTCACATACTTTTTCCTCCCTGCACTGTGAATGTTTACATGTTATGTGCAATTAAACTATGGCAACATCTAATATTTGTGTAGTATTATGTTCAGCAGACTGTGTTCTTCTATTGTTGTGACTTAGATGACGTTCAGAGCACATTTTATGCCCAATTCATGCAAAACTCCACGTAATCCCAAGGGGTTCACATACTTTTTCTTGCAACTGTACATGAGCAGCTGCTAAACTCAAGTTTTTGGCTTTTTTTGCCAAAGGTCCTAAACTCATCTCCATAAAAGCCTATGTGTCCATGTACATATAGGCTTTTAGCAGAGTCTAGCAGCTGCCGCGGTTAGGTGAGGTTAAACCTCCCTATCCTGAACACAGAAGTATCGTGTTCAGGATAGGAACGTTTTGACCTCTGTCCGTGGGAAAAATGCGGAAAAACCACGGTAAAATGCGGCAACCATGGTACCGTGATTTTGCAGCAGTTTTGCCGTGTCCATGAACACAAAGGCGTTCAGCAGAGTTTAGGAGCTGCAGCGTTTAGATGAGGTTAAACCTCCCTCCCCTGACCGCAGAAGAATCGCGTTCAGGATAGGAATGTTTTGACCGCCAACCACGGGAAACCGCAAAATTAGGTACCACGGTTGCCGTGTTTTGCCATGATTTGCGTTTTCCTGTGGCCAGCAGTCAAGGTAGGCTCGTGTACAGGGAGCCTTGATCTCCTCTTCTCAAGAGAGAATAAATTCAGTTCCTATAATCTTTCCTCATAGCTGAGCTCCTTCATAGCTCTTATCAGTTTAGTTGCCCTCTCTGCACTTTCTCCAGTTCCCCAATATTCTTCTTATGAATTGGTGCCCAAAACTGAACTGCATATTCCAGATGAGGTCTTACTAATGATTTGAATATACGTAATTATATGCAAATACATACATACATACATACTATATACAATATTTAGACATAAACTACTGTTTTCTTAGGTTCCTCTGTGTAATATTCTACCTATCATTGTTATGGCTGGGTCATTTATTCATCTCACCATAAGAGTACATATTTATTTCTGCCAGGGGCTGTAAGCATACAGATTCTAACATCTAGCTAGTACCAGGCTACTTTTATCTTTTCATGAAGCTGCCAGCCTTCCATTCATTGCAGCGGCTATTGAGAGTGCTGCTGAATGTTTCCCTAAATAGTTTGTCATTTCTGTTGTACGATTAAACCTACAGTGCTATATATCTGGAGCTGGCCCGATGTCAGAAAAGGATTTGAATGTGAATCTTTTCATATTTTACATGCAGTTAGGATTAGTGTGTGGAGATCAGTGTTATTAGTGTCTGTATTTCTGTAAGGAAAATCAATTGGGTAAGAATGTGTGAGACAAAATAAACTCCATTATTAGCTCTTTGTAAATTTGGAGTTGTATGCTTTGTCTGTGTCAGGGACACATATATCAGTACTGTGACACATAGGCATGCTACATGTTAATTAAATATTATTAATATACTTAATATAAATTATTAATATTAAGATAATAATTAATGAAATATTATAAAGTAAATATCTGCAGTTGAGGTTCATCTGCTTTTAAATCATTTCATTTATTGAATTCATGCAACATACCTTTTATGTGTTTTATTTCAAATGCTTGAATGACTTACTAGGGAGGCTCTCGGGACATTTTGACCATTAATATTATAAATAGAGGACACCATAGAAAGCCAGCCATATTTGCATGTGCTTTTTTGTTTGTTATAGTTCATAGTTAGATTTTAATTTATTCACTCCTGATGAAGCTCATTTTATTGTGCTAAACATGTTGAGTTAGTTCATTTTTGCATGCATTATTTCTTTCATTTTGGGGATACACATGGCTTCAGTACGATGGGGACTGATTACTCATTGACTTTCTTTGGATAATAGTAGAGTTCTTTCAGAGGTTTCAGCCAATTAACCTTTTCTTGTTTTTTTTTTATTTTCCTATTTGAATAGTGGGAGGGGGGCTGTGAAAGTAGAGGGTATTGTCATATTGACCACTCTAATGGCCCTCCAACCACACTATCTGTTTGCTTACGCCTCCTCTGCAGTAAAGCTATATTGTTGTGGGACTAACCAATGAGTGATGTAGATGTTAAAAATACTGCCACAGTAATTGGTTAACCCATATTGTTGGTGTTTAACTGCAGTGTAGTCATCCTATCATTTAAATCCAAAAGGTACCTACACCATGGTGCTCTAATTCTGTTATTTGAAGGATTTCTTTTACCTTAGTATAGGGTTATCACATCCCTTTTTGTCTTTTGTTGTGCTTTTGGCTAAACCTCTGTCTCCATGATACCACAATTTTGTGACAGGAGAGATAGTGTGACATATATCCTATCTCCTAGTCCTCTGTTGGTAGATTATAAGGGTTCATGTTCCTCATCCTAATAGTATAAAAAAAAAAAAACACACAATAATCCTAATAATAATGTCCATAATAACCATGCATTTTCTGAAACATATTCACTGTGTGAAACCTACACAAATGTGGACTCCTCACAGCAAAATACCCGTGGCTCAGTCACTTATTCTCGCAAACAGTGTCGCTCTCATTGAATTCCAGGGTAGCACTGGTAACACAGGTAAACAGCTGAAGGTATCCAAGGCCCAATGAAATGAGGGGGGGCACTCGACAGGATCTAGAGTACTTTGGTACCAATTAGGGAGGGGATCCCCGCAGTAGCTGGGTTTTCAGGAAAAGCTGTATGCTGTTAGGCTCCAGCTTGGCTGCCCGTGTGCTGGTTCAGTGGAGGTTCTCTTACCTGGCTCCAGATTACTTGCCCAGTAACCTCTGCCTCATCAGACGTGGTATCTGAGCTATTGAGGGAGGAAATCCATTACAATAGCTAAATAGCCAGGAAAATCCTTCTTGGTTGATTAATTTTGCCGTCATCAGGCAAGCAACAACATTTACTGGGGAATACAAGCACATTACTGTTTTCTAATGTCTGTAGACACCCTAAAGTAGAAATATAGGCAAAACTTTTTTTTTTTCATTTTGGATGGAGTAAGAGAGGGTGATAACCCCTGTAAGGTTTATTTTTGCCGTCTTTGTCCCATTAGGGAGATTTACCTACCATCCTGTCCCATAATCAAAACAGCAAGTGAACGGAAATACCTGCAAATTAAGGGAATCTCTTGGGGACTCCATATCACTAGAACTAGTGTCCCCATTGGAAAATTTCCCCTGTATTACTTTTCTAGGGACAATACAAAATGTGGGATTTTCTTTTACTGTCACTTTCAATGATAATGGTACACAGGACGATTAGAGAGGGTGAATCGCCCTAACGGCACCCAGACAGCAATAAAAACCTGACAAGTTTTCTAATCCCTGTCCACGCTATCCAAAACTATAAAAAAAAAGTTTTGCTTTTAGTTATACTTTAACTGAGAAGGAATAAGTAAATGTTTTTTTATGAGAATTCCATGTTTTGTCAGTTGTAGATTACAGTTTACATAATCCATTCTTATGCAGACACAGCTGAGAAAGATGTTATTAGCTTCTTTTGCCATACTGCATGACAGCGGTGTTGGGATAAATACATTCCAGGAGCCAAAGTACCTAAAGTTGTTGGCAGCTAACTGTTGCACATATCTTATCTTCATAATACATTTGAAAAAAATTAACGAATAGTCTTTTATTTATACTACAAATAATGGATGAAAATATTATTGTATGATATTCAAAACTCATTGTTTGGCTCTATTGCACCTAATCATAATTTTGAATAATGATAAAAGGATTTCCTTAAATGTTTGGAGTATTTAACTAAATTGTACAATGATATTTCATTTGCAGATTCCAAAGCCATTGTGGATGGAAACCTTAAGCTGATCCTGGGTCTGATCTGGACTCTCATTCTACACTACTCCATTTCTATGCCTATGTGGGAAGATGAGGATGAAGAAGATGCAAAAAAACAAACTCCCAAACAAAGACTTCTGGGATGGATTCAGAACAAGATTCCACAGCTTCCTATCACCAACTTTCACCGGGACTGGCAAGACGGCAAAGCATTGGGTGCCCTGGTTGACAACTGTGCTCCAGGTATGTCAGTTTTATGTGGGTCAACAAGGAACTTACATCAGATTGATTACTTTTATCAAAATTGTGTCATTAATATCTGCCAACTTTCTGAGATGGGGAAGAGTGACACCCTTTAGCAGAAATTATGTAGGCAAAGAACAGACTCCCTGCCACGCACCCAATTATGTGGCCCTTGAAGAATTAATAAGCAAAAAATGATTGGCTTTTTTTTCATGATTATATTTCCTTTATAGTGGCTTTTCTTAAAACATTAATGAGATAATAAAAAGGTTTGAGTAAAAGGTCTAGTGTACTGTAACACTGTTGGTAGTTAAGCATTGCATTTATTATAGATGCCTACACATCTGTTCAAAATGAGGGACAGCTGAGAAGGAAGGGAGGGACAGAGGGGTTGATTTTAAAAAAGGGACAGTCCCTCCAAATATGGGACAGTTCAGATGAATGGAAAAGTCAACATACAGTATACTGATATATCCGGGTGTTCTCTGAGCTCTTTGTTTGACTTAGTGCACGTTCACACTTGACTAATTTCTAAAGCTTGCATAGGTTTTTGAGGAGCTTCCAAAACGCCTAACACCTCCTAACAAAGCTAGTGTGAACGTAGCCTAAGAGCCAATGTCTGAGGATTTTATTTGTTGCAAATGAGTTTTGCATTCTCATACTAGTCTCTGGGGATCAGGGCCCGTGCTAGACTTTTTTGCGCCCTAGTCAAGACCAGCTACTTGTGCCCCCCCCCCCAAAAAAATAAATTTAAAAAAAGTAGTAGAAAGTATTAATTCAACAAAATATGAAGCTGCTAAATTTCTTTTAATGTGCAAAAATAAGTGCCATAAGATGCCACCAGCACCAATTTTAAAGACAAAATCAGGGTCACATATACAGTATATATTATATATGCATCAAATTGTAATTATAACACATACTGTATCATATACAGTATATTTATACATTATATTCATATATAAAAATTGTAAACATGTCTGGAATGTATTCTTTACCACTTAAGAGTTTAAATGAAAAAAGTATAATAAAATAACATATTTCAACCCACGGGTTATGTGGATGCTTGTGATCAATGTCCAAGTATTAGGTCATCGTCGGAAATATCTCTTGATATCCCTGGGACATTTTCCCCCATCCCTTGCTTTGGGAAAGCAAACACTGTGCAGAAGTAAGGCTGCTCCTGGTTTCACTCAATATCTGCCTTGCTTAGAAGCATATAGTATGTTAAAGCTGAACTCCAGGTACAAAAGCTTTAATTTAATTTAATTATTTTCTTCAATAGCTGCAAAGTGTATAAATCCACTTTGTCTGCACCAAATGCCTTTGGAAATTAAGATATTGCCTTGTAAATGTAACAGTGATATCAGTACTGTACTGCAAATAGCCTGTGCAAAGCTCAGAGCTGTGGGACGGGCCCAGAAGGTCCACTCAGTACAGGCTGTCTGCAGAAAACTACAGGAAGGGGTGGATACAAGACCAGTCACCCTGCATGAGAAGAGTGAGCAGCATTGACCGGTCTTTGTTACATTGCAAAGGCAAATGTTCACACCTGATTTCTGCACAGATCTGGTGGAAATACACAAAGTACATGAAGATTCAAGTAAGAATACACATTTATTTTGTGTCTTGACAGTATATGCTTATTCTGGAATTTAGTTTTGAAATGTGTTCCCAGATGGCACAAAAATTGACCCAGCAAGTGGCACTGTCATAGCACCATGCCCCATGAATTTCTGTTGTACTGACTCTACAAAGAGGCTTTTATATTATGATATATTAATATGTAACTCCCATTTTCATTGAAAACAAATCTCTCCTTGTCAGTTATATACATAGCAAGGAGATCAGCACTGTGCGTTGATTGACAAGGCAGCTATATTAACATGACTATTCTTAGTACTGTAAAAAGGGAGACACCGCAAACAAAAATGAAATGCCATTTCTGGGGGTTATCTGTACCCATATACAGAACACTCCAATTGCTTTGGTTACAAAGATGCAGTTTCGTTTTTTTTGGCTGTATTAGGAAAGATCATTTCTGATAACAATAAATTACATAATTCCTTATGCAGCATTTATTTATCTTATACAAACTGTTATTTAACAAAACTCAAGTTGCCCTTTATTCCCTAGCCGGCTCTCCCCTATAATACAGTAAATTTGTCATGAAAGAAGTGCAGAGGCTGCCACTGCTGACCTCTCCTTCTGAGAATGTTAGTTCTCTGGCTGTCATACTGATGCTTTGGCTTCTAGGTTTTCTGAGTCACCCACCTGGAACAAATATAGCACTGGGGCGTTCCAGCACTTTTCTCACACATTTATAGTAGACTTGTTCTAGGCAGGGACTCAAAAGCAGTCAAGGGAACTAACATTTTCATCAGGAGGCCAGCAGTCCCCATATTTCTTTGATGACAGGTGTACTTTAAGACTCCAATTTCTTTTGAACCTCAAGTGATATTTGAAGTGAACGAAAGGTTGGTTACGTATTAGTTCATTTTGTACATTGGCACAGCATGGCTGTAAAAAGGCAGCTTCTTGCTGGATTAACCACCTCCCGCCCACCATATAAGGAAATGATGGGAGCACAGTGGTTCTCTCGTTCTGGGAGGACATCATATGACGTCCTCCCACTCTAACCGCGTGTGCACGCCCCTGGGGGTGTGCAGCGCGGCGGTCGGTGGTGTGCTGTGTCCCTGGGACACAGTGGATCACCGATCAGTGGAAAGAGCAGATGAATTCAGCTTTGTCATGTGATCAGCTGTGTCCAATCACACCTGATTGCATGTAAATAAGGAAATGCCGGTTATTGGCATTTCTCTCCTCACGAGCTGTCATGCTGACAGCTCATGAGGACAGGAGAGCCGGTAATTGGCATTCCTCAGAGGGGACATCTACACTGATCATCAGGGCACTGATGATCAGTGCCCTGATGATCAGTGTAGACCCATCAGTGCCACCTTTCAGTGTCCATCAATGCCACCTGTCATTGCCCATCAATGCCACCTGTCAGTGTCCATCACTGCGCATCAGTGCCACATATCAGTGCCTACCAGTGCACATCAATGCCACATATCAGTGCTCATCTGAGCTGCCTTTCAGTGTCAACTATCAGTGCCACCTATCAGTGCCATTCATTGCCTCCTATGAGTGCTGCCAATCAATGCCACCTATCAGTGCAAGTCAGTGCTGCCTATCAGTGCCCAACTATGCTCACCCTTTCCACCCAGCAACTCCATTCACAGAAGCTATGAAGGAAACATCATCTATGAATGGAGGACGGGCAAATGATTGACAAGTCCACCCCCTTCATTCATAGATCACATTTGTTTTTTAGCTAAACCTAATTTTTAACTGGGCATGCATGTTCTTATTCTTATCCTTTTGGACTACTCAGGGAAAATATGAAAAGTTTTGTTTTAAAGATGACCATTATGGCTAGGGAGGTGCTTTTACTGGGTGCAATTTTACATTGTTTACAAAGCTTGTCATATTTTTTTCAGTCAATAAAGTGGAAATGCACTACATCTGAGCACCACAAACCAAAAATGCTATATACAGTAATTCATTTTTAATATTCAAAACAAGCTCCCCCATCCATCCATGTCTCTATGCTTTACTTTGCTGAGAAATCATTTTGAAAAACACCTCCTAGCATTTCTGGCAGTGACCATCATGAGTAAGGGCAGATGATTCAAGTAGCACTTACTTCCTGGAATTTATCTGTCCTTAGCTCAGGCATTGGGTGAACTGAGAACCTTCCCTCCCCTCCTGAAGACTCCTGTGATGTATGACATCATTTGCCTAGGCATGGAAACCAGGAAGTAAATGAAGGAATGCAAAAAAAGTTTAAAACAAGTAAATATTATATACATTCCTATCTATTTACTAATGCTAGCAGCATAAGGATTAGAAATAGTCCATGTTGACTGAGAGAGTGAAGTTCCACTTTAAGCTCTTATGTTGTTAGATTTGCTGTAGGCAGTGAGGTATTGTAACATAACCTTGGGAGAAAGAATAAAGCGGCTGTAGAAGACTGCAGAATTTGATTAAACCAATGTGAAGATTATATTCACTGGTCCATCCCGAGTGACACATGTTTAGGGCAATTCAGCAAAATGCACTTTTCAAATAAGACTGCATGATAAAATTGTACATGAACTCTGTCACATTCCTTTTAACCACTTGCCTAACAGAACATTTTTAAATTTTTTTTGCAATTGAGTTAAAATCAGCATTTTTTGCTAGAAATTATTGTAACCCCCCCCAAAAAAGTATATATTTTCTTAAAACAGAGACCCCAATGGTAGTTAAATTTTGTTTCTATTACACAATGTTTGTGCAGTTATTAATTTACAGGAAAAATACACAAAATTAATTTTAGTGCAAACAAACACAATCTTATACCCAAGTTTTAGTATATGATAAAAGATGGGGTTGCATTGTATACAGTAAATAGATGTCAAACATGTCAAGTCCTAAAATTGCACACTCACACGGAATCACACAGAAACCTTTACAGCTCATCAGTTTAAAGTTAACCATGCACTATGGCCCTAGATATATTGCTCACACTCTAATGTTCACAACAATACCTCACATGTGTAGAGCAATTGATTTTTCAAGCATGTGCTTGCCCTACACTACACTTTTTTCATTGGTATGTGTGGGGTTTCTTTCATTTTTTAAAATATTATTTATTTATTTTACACATTTCAACACATTTTTTTTACACTTACATTTTTTTTACTTTATTGCCATCATAGGCAGGTGACAGGCCCTCTTTATGGAGACCCCCAATGTCTCCCCTACCCTCCAATGCAACTATTCCAGTAAAGATTGTGCTGGAATAGCTTCATCCTTGGCTACACTAGCCAAGGAATGACAGCTGTGACCCCGGAAGTGATGTAATACACATTCGGGGAACAGATATTCCCCTTGTTCCTCTTGCTTTAACTGGGGAAGTCATCTCCTGTGGTCCCAGGCTCCCCGGTAGAACGGGAGAGCCTAGGAAGCACCACAGATTCAGCTGGCTCCGCTGTTTGGGGGGGCACCCCTTTGAGTGCCCCGTAAACATGAGCGGTCAGCTGTAGATCGATTTTAACAGAAAGCCCTTCCTGGCTCTTAAAGCCCGTATCAAGCTCACAGCTGTAGCAGTAGCTGTAAGCTTGATTTAACCACTTGTCTACTATGATGTATATAAACGTATCTCGGTAGGCAAATGTTTGAATTGCTATTTGTGGTAGGATATTGCTTCTTTTTTAACAGGGCTGTCCAACTGTAGTCCTCAGGGACAGCTTATTAGTTTGGATTTGTGGCAAGCTGTGTCATTTTCTTTCTTGAATGGATCTTAATCAGTGTATATTAGAAAATACCCAAAAATGTTGGAGGATCCTGCCCCTTGAGAATTGAGTCGGACTGTACTGTTCTACAACAATCCTAAAGTATTTCTTTTATGACCACTAGCAGACTACCAGAACTGTATGACTCTGTCCCTATTCTTGTCCCATCAGGGTATTAATAGTATTTGAAAGGGACAGGTCATGTTATTGGAGGAGGGATCTAATGTCCATTTATATGTAGGCATGAAACAGTTTTCAGTGTAACTGTACGCTTTTGCTCGTTCCCTTCCATGACAAGTGAGAAATGCGGTTGTAACATTATCCAGTATAGCTGTCTGTCTGCCTGCCAGAGAAAGAGAGGGTGGGGAGAGAAGTGTGTAATCTCATATAAGGCAAAAGGCAGAGAGCAAGCTTGCACAATCGCATCATGCAACATCAAATAAAACAGCACAATGACACAAGCACACAGATAGATTTCAGTTTAGTCATTCCTTTTGCTAATATATCATGTGATAAGTATTGCAAACTTAGAGGGTTCGATCTGATCTTTCGGAATAAAGATATATTATGTTAATCATATAGAATATTTTTATTGTTAGTCTAGTGGGCTTAAGTGAATAGGTGCTCGGCTTTTTTATGGAGTCATTTTCTGGACTGTGAGTTTACCATTATATTCAGCTCCCAATATGTATGATCCTTGATTCAAATATGTAATATCATTTCTAACAATAGGAGATACAGCAATAGTATTGTAAAGACTCACAGGTTGACCAGCTAGTACGGCTAAGTATTAACCACTTGACCTCCGAAAGATTTAAAACCCCCTCCCTTCCTGATCAGGCCATTTTTTTGCAATACGGCTCTGCATTACTTTAACTGTCAATTGGGCGGTCATACAATGCTGTAAATAAATGAAATTGTTTTTATTTTTCTCCCACAAATAGAGCTTTCTATTGGTGGTATTTGATCACCTCTACATTTCTTACTTTTTTAGTTATAAACAAAAAAAGCTGACAAGTTTGAAAAAAAAAAAAAAATTTTCTGCAATAAAACATATCTAATAAAAAAAGTAAAAAAATCAAATTTCTTCATAAAATTTAAGCCAAAATGTATTCTGCAACATGTAAAATTCCAATAAGTGTATATTGATTAGTTTGTGCAAAAGTTATAGCATCTACAAATTATGGGACATATACTGGATTTTTTTTTAAAAAAATTTTAATACTAGTAATGGCGACGACCAGCGACTTATAGCTGGACTGTGATATTGCGACTGACATTTTTACACTAACTGACACTTTTTGGGAACCAGTGACACTAATACAGTGATCAGTGCTAAAAATATACACTGACACTGTGCTAATAACACTGGCTGGGAAGGGGTTAAACATTTAGGGTGATCAAGGGTTAACTGTGTGCCTAGCTATGGCTTGTTTACATAAGCAGAGCTCTGTCTGTGTCCTGCCCGACCATCGGGTAGGTGGTGGTGGTGGACATCCGCTCACCGGCACTCACAGATCGGCTTTCTGCTGTGAGTATTCACAGCAGAAGTGATTCGTCGGCAGATCGTGCGTGCCCTCTATGATGGAAGTGCAAAATCACATATATATACGTGATTTTACACAACAGGGCCACCGTGTGTCAGTAAAACTGCTAGAGGGTGGACCTTAAGTGTCTATAAAAAATGTATGTGAAATGTTAAAAAAAAGTTGATATTTGAGTTGAGTCAGTGACTGATTAGCCGTATATCCAGTCATGAGTCTTATCTGTCATGTAACCTTACTCGATTACAGCTCAGCTGGTGGCTCAGTAAGGAATTTTCAGTAATTAATATGATATTTCCATACACTTACTAGCGATAATTCTTGTAATTTAAATAAATGTGGTTTTTTTAGGGTGCTCAATTAAGTTTCACCAGAATCCGAAGAAAAGAAATATGAGAATATGAAAAAACTTTCCATGTTGAATTCTACAATTTACAAAATTACACATCAACTTTGCAAATGAATATTGCATAATACATATACAAATAATATTACATTCAATCCTCTCCCTAATGAAGATTTTCAAATGAGCATTTTGACACTCTAACACAAACTATAGTGCTTAATCTAAAAAGAACAGTGTTCATTAGGTTAGATATCTCCTGTCTCAACGCATCTCACATATCCAGCTTCATCAAGAGAACAGTGAGATGTTTTACGTGTAACCTCAACAATTGTAATATAATAACTTTTTGGAATAAGCACTATACCTCCCATTTTCTTGGGATTTTAATTAAACTCATTTAGGCACCTAAAAAACACCATAGGCCTATAAGGCATTGTTGCTTGGTTTGTGTCTAGAAGGTGGGGGTTGCTACACCAAGGGGTTGATTTACTAAAACTGGAGAGTGAAAAATCTGGAGCAGATGTGCATGGTAGCCAATCAGCTTCTAACTTCAGCTTTGTTCAATTAAGTTTAAAAAACTAAACTGGAAGCTGATTGGTTTCTATGTAGAGCTGCACCACAGTTTTCACTTTCCAGTTTTAGTAAATCAACCCCAAAATCGTTTGATGGTACCATTTTAGAAATTTCTGAAGTAACTTGATAATTGCAAGCAACAGTTCTTGTGAATTCGAATGCCATTGATTCAAAGACTGCAGGTAGTCAAAAAGACTTTCTAGATAGCTAAAAAGATAATTATTTTTTAATGCACAACATGAATCACAACAGTCAATAGAAATGGTTCTGTCACCCTCACCGTTTCAAGAATGGGTGGATTTTGTGCTCACTACAGAGATTGTATGTATGTAATGGGCAACTTATATATACTTTCATGATATAGCTGTGAAAATATTCCCAGAAGATCTACAAAGATTCACAACAAAGAATAATGTTTTGTGTTGTTATAGGTCTGTGCCCGGATTGGGAGGCCTGGGACCCCAACCAGCCTGTGGAGAACGCAAGAGAGGCAATGCAACAGGCTGATGATTGGCTAGGTGTGCCACAGGTAAGAGAACAAGGCAGCTATGGGCATGTGAAGCTCTCTGCACATACTTTATTACCATAACTGATAGCCACATCTAATTGTTAAACAAACAGTATATGTTGACTATATAGACAGTCAGATCTTAAAGTATTGCTAAAGACAAAACCTTTTTCCTAGTTTTGGATAAAATGAAGGACTGCAGTTTAAACAGTTTAGTCTGTTTAAAATTTGCAAAGAATCCATGGCCATGACGAAAAAAAAAATAGAAAATTGCACTAGTTCTGCATTCTTTAACACATGTCTTAATGGAATAAAAAAGAGTACATCATGATGATATTTGTCTGCATGGCTCATAAGCCATAAATCTAGAATTTACAATATTAAACAGAGCTAGAATCTGTAACTGCACACTAATGGAATAGTCTGGTTATGAGTTCACTGCCTTCCATATGCACAACAACATATTAAACCCCTGACATTATTTTTATGTCATTGCTTCTGAACTATAAACTTCACTGTCTGCAGCAAGTCATCCACTAAGCCTGTTTTATAGTCCACCAAATGACTGGCTATAAAAAAACAGCTTTCATGTAGCCTGATATTTCCCATCTTGTATTTCTGATATTGTATGTTTGAGGTCCAACCACATATCAATTCTTGCAATATACAACAAAAACTTTTAGCAATAATTTGTACAGAACTTTAATTATTTAGTACTTTGTACATGTGGCATAGATACTGGTTTTAATACAGTAACTAATCTATTAATTCTCTCATCCTTGCTTCTGTTGTAGGTCATTGCTCCTGAAGAAATTGTTGACCCCAATGTAGATGAGCATTCAGTCATGACCTACCTTTCCCAGTTCCCCAAGGCCAAGCTGAAGCCAGGTGCTCCTCTAAGATCAAAACAGTTGCATCCCAAGAAAGCCATTGCCTATGGGCCAGGTATGAGACATTTCAGCACTGCTAATGCAACTCCACAAAACCATTACACTTTTTTTTCTGTTCAGAGAAGTTTCAAAACATATTGTTTATATATGGACATAGAAGATCATCTCTAGATGACCATGTACTGTCTACTATGCTTTGTCTTAGGACAGTAGCTATGGGTAACTAAGAATGCAAAAAAGTATACTTTCCCTCATTGCCTTTCCCTGGCTTTCAGTGATATATGTGATCATTAGTGATGAGCCGAAACACCCCCCTGTTTGGTTCGCTGTCGAACATTCAAACCTAATGGAAGTTAGACCGAGAACTTCGAACTGGGACATTTCACTAAGTGGTATCTTACTGCATCTGAGTATGCAGTAAGATACCAAACAGCTACTAAAATATGGTAAAACTCAGCTGTCAATAGGGAAACCCACTGACAGCTGAATGTAAAAAGAATTTCTGGCCCTTTAAGGTTATGGATTTTAAGGGGAACCCCCATGCCAAGATTAAAAAAAAATGGGGGGTCCCCCTCAAAATCCATACCAGACCCTTATCTGAGCATGCAGCCTGGCAGATCAGGAAAGGGGGGAGATGAGCGAGCCCCCCCCCCCCCAATGAACCATACCAGGCCTCATGCCCTCAACATGGGGGGGTGCTTTGGGGCACCTTGTCTCTATGTTGATGGGGACAAGGGCCTCTTCCCCACAACTGTGGGTGGTGGTTGTGTTGGTCTGCAGGCAGGGGGCTTATCGGAATCTGGAAGCCTGCTTTAACAAGGAGCCCCCAGATCCTGCCCCCCCATGTGAATAAGTATGAGGTACATGGTACTGCTACTCATTCACAAAGAAAAAGTGTAGTGTAAAAAATTACAGAAGACATTCTTTGACAAGTCCTTTATTAAAAACAAAAATAAAAATAAATATCCCCCAGCTGGCACTGCAAACCCAAAAAACGCTCTGTTCTCGATGCTGGCTCCTGCCATCTGACAGCTGCATCGGCTTGAAAGTTCTAAAATATCTAAGGAATGGAGGCCACCCGGTGGAGTCAACCAGGTGACCCCACACCTTGTAACATCATCATGCACTGTGGTTGGCCAAAGCATTGCAGCTGACTTACTTTCGACTCATCAGGCCCAACGCTAGTGATCATAGCAAATAGGCATGAGAGAAAGGATAACAGAGGGGGTAGATTTTAATAACTGAAGAGGTGCAAAATCTGATGCAGCTCTGCACTGAAACCAAACAGCTTCCAGATTCTATTGTCAAAGCTTAAAATGGAAGTAAATTACACTTTGTAAGTTGTACCTACAGGTAAGCAGGAATGACACAGTTGTTTCTTGACGCTGTGCCTGAGCACTTTTCAGTGACATAAAGAAAATATGAAACAAAAACATCTGAACTGAAATTCTTTTAAGTGATGCCTATCTAAATGATGCATATGCATTAAGAGGTTAAAGACAAAATGTAATTATTGATTAATCAGTTCAAAAACAGAGCGCTAAATGCAAAGTGCTTTATCCATAGCAATTATTATTCACTTAATAGAAACCTGACCAGTACAAGATGTATTCTGATTGTATACTACTGTGCTTTGCGCTTGTAGAATTGCTCCTTATACTGTTTTATTGAATAGGTCTGTGTGATTTTTACAATTAACTCTCTTGTGGTAGTAGCAAAGGGTTAAAGTGGGAGACCAGGTAGCCCCCGCAGTTCCCTTCCTGCTGGCTCTGTCAGTGTAACACGATGTCTGGGTGAGCTCATGCTCTCAATCCGCCGTGCTCCATCTCTACTTGGCAGCATCAGGATTGTTACAATATGTTGATCCGAAGCACTTAGATCATCTGCTGCCAAAACTCCCAAATGTGGACAATTAAGAAACAGCCAGAACCAAAACACACACTTCAGTGGGGCCTTATAAATTCCCATCAGCCTTGGACATATCTCGAGATGTAGCAGTAAGAACACCAAGCACTGCCAAATCTGCAGTATGTCCTCTTTTTACAGCTTCTGAATTGTTCTCAAGATAAAGGGAATATGAATATAGAGATATGATTTACATTAGATTGTGGTGTCTAGTGGCTGTAATATTTGAATGCATATGTAAGTGTGTGCGGTTTTTACCTGTTTTGGTGTAAGAAATTAATAAAATTTGTTGCAGGGTATGAAACAATATTTTACATAAGAATCTACAAGCAATATTGCTATTATCTAACATAGTGCTTTTCACTAACATTATTTGGGTTATGTACTAAGACTGGAGCGTGCAAAAATCTGCACAGAAACCAAGATCGATATATACATAAATTGATTATTTTTTTGTATTTTAGATATATAGATATTGTTTGTGTATTGGATTGATATTGATTGCTGTGTTGTGTGCTATCATTTCAGGAATTGAGCCTCAGGGAAACATGGTTTTGAAACCCGCCTTCTTCACAGTAGAAACTATTGAGGCTGGACTGGGAGAGGTGCTGGTATTTATAGAAGATCCTGAAGGACATACTGAAGAGGTAACAAATTAAATGCAGTAATGTTAACCAATAGAAAGTGTCTGATATTACTGTGCTCTTATCTGTATAGCTCTCAGATTTAATCATATACCATTAACAACGAGCCAGTCCAGACAAACAGACATAATTAGCCTGTTATGGTGGTCCTAAATGTCAGTTTGTCCTTTTTATAAAACCCCCAAATGATGGCTTTCTTTAGGGTTTAGTAGTATAAATAGAATGTCTGGTAACATCTGAATTCCAGGACCTTATCGTTTGACCCTAATCATGAACTCACTGATTTAGCCAAATATGAGTACAATGTATCAAAATAAATAAGTGGATCAACACATAAATATGTTATATATCAAGAAACAATTGCCATCACATAAATTGTGACTAAATTAATTCTAACCATTGCTTATTTAGAATTATACATTTTTATGGAATATTTGGGTCTTTTGTAGCATACTCAGTTTGACTAGTTTTGGCTAGATCACCTACACAATATTTCTTTTGAAGGCAAAGGTTGTTCCCAACAATGACAAAAAAAGAACCTACTCAGTCAGCTATGTGCCAAAGGTGGCAGGTCTTCACAAGGTAAGAAACTTAAACATGTTTATTGTACCTTTTGTGTTCTGAAAAAAAAATCAATAAAAATGGCACATGCAAAAATAGTAAAGTATTGGTCATTACAACCTTCCTTTAAGGTGGCATATGTTTTTCTGAAAATGATGTATAGAGAATTACCTTCCCTTCCTCAAATGAGTCTTGGGCTCTTGGACATTTGTTTGACACTGTCATTGGATTGTATGTACAGTATGTGAATTCTAAACTCTGGGTCATTTCCCTATTCATGAAGGTAGCCCCCGTTTTGTGGAGTGCTGCTGAACGCAATCCGATGTGCCCAGGAACAATTTCAGTGACCCTTAGAAAATCTGATTCCAGGGCCCTGTTTGTTTTAGGTTTTTACCTCATGCATGGTACACTCATATGCATGGTACAATCATATGCATGGTACTTTGATCCATTGCTATGCTACACAGAAGATGAGGCAGAAGCTCTGCATATAGGAATTTTTTCCATTATCCAATAACTATTGTTTCTGGCCATCAGAGGTGCTTATTATTGTCCACCTGGAGGTCAGAAGCAAGCTTAACATTTCTTGAATACAGAGCCTAGCTTGTAATCATTGGACCAGTTGCGCCACCCTAAGATACCAGATGTAGTTTACTAGATAGATTTGCAATTATTCCATCCTATATAAAATATATATATAGATCTATATTTTTTAAACAGAAGAGTGTTTACTTGATTGATAGTATATCATAAATTATTTTTATTCGAATGAGTAAGACCGAAATATGCTTGTATTTGGAATATGCACACATCCAATGTGTCATAAAATAAAAATTCCTACCAGAGTTCACGGTGGTAACCTTTACTTGAATTTGTTCTCACATAGGTCACAGTTTTATTTGCTGGACAGAACATCAATAAAAGTCCTTTCAATGTCAATGTTGCAATGGCACTTGGAGATGCCAACAAAGTGACAGCAAGGGGACCCGGTCTTGAACCAGTGGGGAATGTTGCAAATAAGCCAACCTACTTTGATATCTACACCGCAGGTAAATATATCTTAAGATTTTGATGTACCGTATGTATAAAGGAGAGAGAGCATTCAAAACTTTCCAAAACATTAATACAAACTGAATATATTAACAGTTTAAAGGGTATAACCCATGGTAGTATGCTATTCATAGGTGATATTCTAGCATTTACTGGTTTGCACTCTGAAAAATATTTGTCTTTAATATGTCCATAGGTGCTGGTTCAGGTGATGTTGGGGTGATCATAGTTGATCCTCAAAATCGTCAAGACACAGTGGAAGTAATCTTGGAAGACAAAGGTGATAGCATCTATCGCTGCACATACAGACCCAACATGGAAGGACCTCACAAGATCTACATATCCTTTGCTGGCACCCAGATTCCAAAGTGTCCTTATGTTGTTAATATTTCAGAAGGTAGGAATTCCAGAGTCAATATGAATCCAAATCCATTGCATTTACACATCACCATTATTTTTCATTCTTCATATTTCACTTTCATCTTATCAGATTTAACCTGCTTCTGTCATTATCCATTCTATATTTTTGCAAATGGTGTTCTGTTCTCTGCCAAGAAGCCATCAGTTTCTCATTATAGTGAGATATCGTACAGGTCTTTCTAAAAAAAACAAAACAACACATGTATGTTTCACATGAAGGAATTTACATTTCCACCTTTCTTTGATTCAGCAGGGGTTATTTTACTCATGACAACTAGGCTGTTCACTTTGCAAGGGTATTTCCCTTTACATTGATGAATGTGATGAAAATTCACTTTGCAAATAATAACAAATCATGTGCTTTCAGTTTTTTATTTTTGCTTTCGCATGATTGGATGATGGAAGTCAGCAGAGCTTCAGTTCATTCACTAAGCTAAGGCAAAAATTCCTTCCAAAGCCAAAATTCCCTTGCAAAGTGACCAGATTGTTTGCTATTTTATTCCAGGTAACTCCTCTTCACTCAGTTCATCCAATTATGTGCAAAAGATATTCCTATTTGTTTTTAATTTCAATCAAATTATTAGAATTCTTATTTAGTAAACCATCCCCACTGTGTGTAAAGATATTAAATAGAGGCAACTATGGGACCATAAAGCTATTTGTACATCCACCAATAACATGCGTGGTAATTAAGTTGAATATTAATCATTATGCTTGAATAAAGACTATAAACACAGAATGATTTTAATGTAGTGGAATCTGTGAACAACAGCAAATTAAAGTCAACCTTTTTGCATTAGATATTACAGGCGCAACTGTGTTAGTAGATGAAGATTAAAAACGAAAACACATACAAACACATACACACACTGAACATTAATTTTTGAAGGCTTCTAAATTCCAGTTACTGAAGCTAAATGATAAATTCAGAAGGGACTAGGAATCTGGGATCATATCATCATGTGTAGTAACACACTCCTGCATATTGGTATTATGCTTGTTTAAGAAAGAATTTGTAAGGATGACCTAATATTAGGTAACCTTTTGTGGAAATCCATGGTCATAAGGAAAATAAATCAAAACTATACTGGTTCTACATTCCTTAAGATATGTCTTAATGGAACAAAAAATGCTTTATAACTTCTGTCTACATGGTTCATAAGCACAAAGGCACGGTCAGCACTCACACCTCTTCTAGTTCAAACAGTAAAAGAGAACTGTAAGGCCAGGACCAAGGGAACTTTGTGTTATACTGGTAATTCAGTGCATATAAGATAGTTGTGTAATTTTTCTAAAAAGCAGATCTAAAGATATTTTGTAGGTAGAATTAAGGATAGTATCACTAAAGCTTCATAAATTGAATTTTAGTGGCTAGTTATGGCATATTCCCAATTTTTGTTTGGAAGAATAAAGACAGAGTAGTGTCAGCATTGCCCATAGTAATCAGTCACTCTGGGTAAAAGTCCAATATATGAGTGTTAAATATAGACAATCCTGACACTCTTATCCAATTATGTTAAAGCATATTCACAGATTATATATTTTTGCACAATTTGCAGGATCCTTAGCTCTAAAAATGTATTTTTCTTCTGCATGGTTTACTGCATGTATAAAAATGAAGAGGTGTAAAATTCATTGTCTGTCACTGTGTACATGTGTATGTCATCTTGTGCTTGTCAGTTGCCACTTTGTATGATTGTCTACATGTATAATGTCTTTGCTGAATTTCTCTCCCCATGTTTTTTGCCTTCCCCATAGCTGTTGCCTTGGCTCCCAGCACCCCTCCCCTGCAGGTCACCCCTCAGGCCATTGCTACCCCACCTCCTGAAAAAGCCAAGAAAGTGGCTCCCCCACCTCCACCCAAACCTAAGCCACGCAAATCAAGTTAGTATGGCCTGAGCATGGCCTGACAAGTGTGAGAGAACACAACCTCAGAATGGCTTGCCCATGTAGAGTAGACTCATCCTGTGCATGGCCGTATATCTTAGAACAGGCTTTGTAGTTATACATGAGTGTTTCACATGTATAATCCTGCACGCTCTAAGCATGGCCTGTCCTCTGACAATGCCTTGCATATGTTGTTTTAGACTTCATTACTTTTTTGAATCAGTAATTTGTAGAACCCGTTGAGCATATAAGATTGATATTATCAATGTTCCCTTTTTGCATGTACCATTGCAAATCCATGGTTACTTACTTTGAGAAGAAAGTGTTTGTGTTTAGTCCCCCCCGTTATGAATAATGATTATTTAATTTTCTTCTCATTTTCAACAATCATTATTTAGTTCTCTCTCCTGTGGCAATTCTCCTATACTACAAATCTTTTTTTGTTTTTTTCTTAGCACTTTCCTTGTGGAACTACTGACATTTTTCCTATGCCTAGACCTTGCCTGTTAAATACATAACCATGTGTTACGATATCCTACTTTTGAATATTTTCCAATTAGTAAAGAGTTACATATATTGAGTTTTACTTACACAATTATTTTATATAAAAGGAATATTTGTTAAAATGCTTTGCCCTATTTTCCATTGACTGGAACAGGTTTGATCCTCTGCTAGAGTTGCTTATCTGGAGGCCAAGGAGAGGTCTCTGATGGATTATAATTATACCATGTCATCTGCCACTGCATTGTTTCTGTAGGAATATTTGGGAAATCAAGTAGAGACTAGTGACTAAAAACTGAGCAGGCTTGGTCTTGGCACAACATCAATAGTACGATCTTCAAAAAACCCTTAATCTTCCCCAGTATAGTCAAAACAGCTGTTTATTGAGGGGAAATATGAACTCCCTTTAAATGCACTGCTTAGAGTTTTTACCATTAGTAAATGATGCTCAAGCATGGGTTCTCTCTTCTAAAATCTTGAACTCTTGGAAGGCATAACAGTAATTAGTTGCTGCATTCTTTTCAGAATAGCGGACTTGTATGCATGATAAACAAATACTGCAACACTGTGTGGAATGCTGCTTAAGAATTTAATAAGGATAGAAGCACTGGATCATTTTGTAAATGGTATTTCATCATAGGCATGGTAAATCTACATACAAAATCTTTCACCTTTCTAGAAGCATTAGGTGCTATTATATTAACATTCCATATGTAGATACATTTGGCTATATTGCAGAAATTTGCTCCCAGCACCCCTCCCCTGCAGGTCACCCCTCAGCTCTAGTAAATGGAATTTAGAAGGTAATTTTCCTGAGGTCAGTGCAGGTATCATGACTACATAACAGCATTTTCCTGAGTACCAAAGAATTCAAGACATGGCAATCCCATTAACAGTGTATGAGAAGTTGTATAGGCAGTGCAGGTAGCTTAGCGATACTAACAGGTCTAGAGAAAAAAAAGGAGCCCCTACACCACATATGACTGTGAAGGAGGGACATAATCATACCTTTCCACTGAAGCCCTCTACTGTGGCTGTCCTCCAATGCAATTATTCTTCTAAATCTTTTCATTTAATAATGCGTACTAAATATTGAGTTTGCTCACACTTTTGAACAATTATCACATAAAATTGTTCAACAGCATAATAAGCCCATGTCTTTGAAGTGCATTTGAAATTGAAGAAAAAGAAATAAACTTTAGGATTTTCCTACAAATGCATCTGGTGAATCCATCCTTAGGACATACAAGGAGAGGTGTGTGCACAATTTGTATGCCTGTTTGTTCATGCATGTAGCTTTTTGTCCTGGGTAAAAACTGAAGCAAATACCTATGATGTGACTACCATTTGGATGGTACGTGATGGGTTTGATGGAAATCAGATGCAGTTTTTTTACCTGCGGTCTTGTGTTCTAGCAGTGGGTGCATTATGTTATTTTTGGCTTAGTCTGTATCTGTTTCTTTTCTCACTAGATTTACTTATGATTACAACATGTTATATCTTTTTCAGCTTGTAATCCCAATGCCTGCAGAGCTTCTGGCCGAGGACTGCAGCCTAAAGGAGTACGTGTTAAGGAAGTGGCTGACTTCAAAGTGTTCACCAAGGGTGCAGGAAGCGGAGAGCTGAAAGTCACTGTTAAAGGGCCCAGTAAGTTGTCATTAAATCTGTACTACTTTCCATCAGTTTAAAGGTTCTATAAAACTAGAGTTAGTAATAATGACTACCACCGAAAATTTATTGCAAAGTGTTAATTGGGTCTTAAAGTATAACTCCATGTTGGCTAAAAAAATTAAATATAGTCAACCCTTCCAGCATATCATTGCCCATTTTTTTTTAGAATATGATTTGATAGAGAATATTACTTACCACAAGAGCCAGTCTTCAATACTTTTCTCATCATCACATACAATGGAGGACAAGCAGTGCCCACTGTTCTTGTATTGGGATGTTGTCTATAAGAGGCGTGGCAACAAGAGAGAGCGGTTTGGTGGAAAGGTCACCACAACCCAAATTGGTGTGGGGAAAGATAATAAATAGTCCCTAATACAAAATGAGCATTATATTGTTCATCTGCTAGGGGGAAGGCTATTTTTTGTTTTTAGATTGGCCTGTAGGTAGGACTTAATAGGCAACTAAGAATGTGGGTACAGGTAAAATGGTAAAAGGCAGTTTTCTCTGCTATTTGCCTATACCGAAACTAGCATCATAGCAAATGAACCTTTGCTAACAACAGGATAAGCTTTCCATAATTAGCTAATACATCAGGAGGCATGTTGACCAGGGGCGGACTGACAACTCATGGGGCCCCCGGGCAGCAGGGGATCATGGGGCCCCTGTGTCCTTGCCCAAACTCAAAAAAGCCTATGAAAAAGGTACCAGGGGCATTTCATGGGGCCCCCTACTGACCCCGGGCCCTCGGGCAGTGCCCGAGTTTCCAAATGGTCAGTCCACCCCTGATGTTGACTAATTTAGTAATGACTCTCAGAGATGTTGCTGTATCTTGGTTTACAGCAGTCTTCCACTAAGTATTCACTCTCCTTTACCATAATATCTTTTCCAGTGCTGTGTTGTGCTGGAATAGTCAAGTCAAGTAGTCAAGATCTAGCAGTAATTTAAGTTAAAAGGAAAAAATGGGGAAAAAAAAAAATCAGCTTTAAAGAGTGCATATCATTCAAAAAATCAATACACACTGTAAATTTCTAGTATCAAAAAAGGCTAAAATCCATTGCACACCTTTACACTGTGACTAGGCAATTTAAAATTTGGACAAAATTTCAAAGGAATTAACAATTTCTCACAGAAGGTAAAACAGCTACATAATAAAACAAAGTGCATGACAATCTACAAACTATTTTCTGACCACCAGAGGGCACAGAGGAGCCAGTGAAAATCCGAGATGTTGGCGATGGAGTGTATGAGTGTGACTATTACCCAATAATGGCAGGAAAATATGTTGTGACCATCACTTGGGGTGGATACGCCATTCCTAGAAGGTGAGCACGAAAACTGAATAATTGCTCTACTTATCTACCATCCTTAAGACAAAGCTCAAGAATTTAGAATTATTATTATTATTATTATAGATCAAGTCAAAAAATATTTTAAAAAATGTGTGTAACCTACTACCAGTGATCAAAAAAATCAAAATTTGATAAACTCTACTCATATTTTCAAATCTATACCTCTATACATTTTAATACTTTGATATACATTTAATTATATATTGTATAGACCCGGGATCTACTTTTGTTTCACTTGACATAAACACAATCGATAACAATGACAGCAGTTATATCCACAATTTCTTTTTCTTTGTCTGTTAATAAATTATTGCTGTTTTTGTTTATATACAGCCCATTTGAAGTTCTTGTTAGCCCTGAGGTAGGAGTACAGAAAGTTAGAGCATGGGGCCCTGGCCTCGAGACTGGCATGGTGGGCAAATCTGCTGATTTTGTGGTGGAAGCCATAGGCACAGAGGTTGGAACACTTGGTAAGAGATCCCATACACAATACTAATATAAAGACTCTAAGGAGGTTCTTTACTAAAACTGGAGAGTGCAATATCTCATGTAGCTCTGCATAAAAAACAATCAGCTTCCAGGTTTTATTGTCAAAGCTTAACTGGACAAGCTGAAGTTAGAAGCTGATTGGCTACCATGCAAAAATGCACCAGATTCTGAGTGCACCAGTTTTCAGTAAAGTTTCCCCATAGGTACAAATCTTTTGAAACCTGTGTTTTCATTTTTCTCTGGAATACCGTTGTTGCAAACACTGTCTTCAATGTTATCTCTAGGTTTCTCCATTGAGGGCCCCTCACAGGCAAAGATTGAGTGTGATGACAAGGGAGATGGCTCATGTGATGTGCGCTACTGGCCCACTGAGCCTGGCGAGTATGCTGTGCATGTAATCTGTGATGATGAGGACATCAAGGACAGCCCTTTCATTGCTCATATTCTACCAGCCAGCAACAAAGGCTTTCCAGAAAAGGTAAAAAGCAAAAAGTGTTTAATGTAGAGGTTTACAGTTTATTCCGTTATGAAGGATCGTGTGGGGCCATTATAACAGTGACCCTAAGAAGAACTTTAGTCAACAGAAAAATTAACAGGTTGGATAAAGTTTGAAACGTCCTAATGGTACAGGCAGGCCTTTGGGATATAACATACTAAAATCTGATGTGGATTTTAACTTTTCTGTTATACAGTGCATTCAATAATTTAATTATTATTTTTATACGGGATTTATTTAGAGTCAACAGTTTGCACAGCTTTTTACAACGTAAAGGGAGACAGCAGAGTTGCAATACAATTAATTTCAAGAGAACTAATAAAGCTCATGCTCCTGAGAGATTAATGAATTTAGCATAAGAGCCTCAGAGCACAGCTAAATCAGGATAAATGACATTAAAATACTTCTGGGATCAATACACATGTGATATAGAGCAATGTGAGCATTTAAACTTTTACTATCAATGAAGATAGCTATCTTTTGATCACTTGAAACTTCAAAGAGCCACCTACAGGGTTCTTTTGGGCAGAACCCAATGAAGGTGCACATTTAAGCTACCTACAAATATAAGAGACATTTTTTAAAGAGGGTCATGTAAATGCTTTTTTTCAGCTCTCTCAGTCAACCCCCCCCCCCCTCTTTTCCTCCCATGTCTACCACCTGTTATTTTACGAGTTAAAGAGGGAGGGTGAGGGATAAGCATTTGTCTAACTGGGATCTGACCTTTGCAGGCTCATCTTCTAATCCCCCCCCCCCCAGCCTTCCTTTCCAAACATAATTTTATATGACTAGGAAACTATTACTAGCATCAAAAGAACCTCTCTTGTTCAAGACTTGTGACCGGTCACTATGGGCCTAGAAGAGAGGGATCATATTAGATAGAGAGATAGCGCTACACTGGATTATTGAAGACTCGAAATTATTGAATACATAGTCTGTATGAAAGTAATTGTGAAGTATAAGACCAATTAAAACCTTTCAAACAAAAATAGATACATAAATAGAGAAGGTAGTTCAACTACATACAAAATAACTGAAATTGAATAACCCTGTCTTGATGATGGTGCTTATGTTGACTCTTTTGCATAATTTTCCAGGTTAAGGCATATGGTCCAGGTCTGGAACCCACTGGCTGCATAGTAGAACACCCTGCTGAATTTACTATTGATGCCCGTGCTGCTGGTGTAGCTGAGCTGAAGATCTATGCACAGGTACATGAATTATTGGATAGATTTTTAGCTCTATGGTACCAAGTTGTGAGTTCTCATTGTTCCCTTTTGTCATTATTGGGTTGATTTTGAGTTTGGGTGTTCATAATATCTTTTAACATGAAGGTATATGAAACCTGTATAATGCTTCAGCACTGACACGTTTTATATTAATACACTGTAATTGTACTTTGTTTTCTTTCAGGACGCAGAGGGAACACCAATTGACATCAAGATTAAGGACAATGGAGATAATACTTATGTGTGTGTTTATGTACCATTGAAAGCAATCAAACACACTATAATCATCTCATGGGGAGGTGTTAATATCCCCAATAGCCCTTACCGGGTAAGTTACATTTGCAACAAATAGAATGCTAGTGGTGCTGCAGATATTTTCTACAGAAACAGTATTGACTGACTACCAAATGGTGGCATAAATGTCTGTGTAATGCTCTCTTTGTATTTTGGTGCATAATATATTATATGAGCATATATGTTCTAAAGAAATGTATAGATTATTATTATTATACAGGATTTACTTGAATTGCTTATTAATGATTTTTAGGTGTCAGTGGGTGAGGGTAGTCACCCTAACAAAGTTAAAGTTTATGGACCTGGAGTAGAAAAGACAGGCCTAAAAGCTAATGAGCCAACATACTTCACTGTGGATTGCAGTGAAGCAGGACAAGGTAAAACTGACTTCTTGAAAATGTTATTTCTTGAAATCAGTGATGACATTATTCAGGCTGCTTAATCTATTTTTTTTTCACAGGTGATGTCAGCATTGGAATTAAGTGTGCACCTGGTGTGGTGGGACCAGCTGAAGCAGATATTGACTTTGACATCATCAAAAATGATAATGACACTTTCACTGTGAAATACACACCCCCTGGAGCTGGGAGATATACCATAATGGTATTATTCGCTGACCAGGTAAGAAAAAAACTGCACATTACTGGACTAAAAAATGTAAATATTGCTGGTTTATTTACTAGATGTACTGCAACAGGCACTTTGTATTTTCAGAACTTTCCCATATGGACACGTAGGATGTATAAAGATACATGTTCTACTGCTAATGAAATTATGTTGCAGGTTTATTTAATTGCTTAAAATACCTTTTTCCTTTCTTTTTATTAGGAAATACCAATCAGCCCCTTCCGGGTGAAGGTAGATCCATCTCATGACGCCAGCAAAGTACGAGCAGAAGGCCCAGGACTTAATCGCACAGGTGAGACTGCTATGATTCCCAAGGAATTAGCTGAAAAGAGTGTCCGAAAATCAGGTGTAAATGTATGCCTAGCAAACTGTAATTTATAAACTTGTATTTTTTTTTTTACATTTTTTCTGGCTTGTTTTGATTAATTGTTAGGTCATTAATGAGTTCTTTATGTTTTCACATATTAAGAAAGTTTAAAACTTAAAAAGGATCAATTCAAACTTCTATGTTTTGAAAAATAAAGTAATTATTTATGAAGATAGCTCAGGCATTACATCTTTAAGACATTTTTGAGGTATACTGCTATCAAGTGTAAAAGAAGTAGTGTCTTCTAATAACTGTTATCTTCATTTGATACAGGTGTAGAGGTTGGAAAGCCAACACACTTCACTGTATACACTAAAGGAGCTGGAAAAGCTAAGCTGGATGTTCAGTTCAGTGGGACCATGAAGGGTGAAGTTGTGCAAGACTTTGAAATAATTGATAACCATGACTATTCATACACTGTGAAGTATACAGCTGTGCAACAGGTATGTTTATCATATATAATTTAAATTCTTACAGTTCTAAGGTTCCCTGCATTACCTGTTATGTGTTGTTTAAGTCAACAGTATGCTTATTTTACAATTTCTGTTGCACATTATAGCCCTAAACTCTGGATAGCACATTTAAGTTCAGTTCTGTCTAACAGGGTAATATAACCGTATCAGTCACCTATGGCGGAGATCCCATCCCTAAGAGTCCATTTATTGTTACTGTGGCACCTCCTCTGGACCTGGGCAAAGTCAAAGTGCAGGGGCTCAACAACAGTAAGTGGCCACATATTTTACAGTTCATATCTTGTTAAATCTGTGGGCAATAGCTAATATTTTAGCTGTAAAAGCTTTGTGATTGTGTCAGGTTTTAACGTCCTTTGTCTACCTTTGTCCTGAACATAAAATATCTTTGCTTATGCAGACGTGGATGTTAGACTTTAATGTTCTTTTTCTACCTCTTTTCTGAACATTAAATATATTTGTTTATGCAGAGGTGGATGTTGGGAAGGACCAAGAGTTCACCATTAATACCAGTGGAGCAGGAGGTCAAGGAAAGGTTGATGTGAAGATTACATCTCCATCACGGCGTCCAATTCCTTGCAAGGTGGAGACTGGTGTCACTAGTGAGATTCACACCGTAAAATACATGCCTCCTGAGGAGGGTCCATACAAGGTGGACATTAGCTATGATGGCCATCCTGTACCAGGAAGCCCATTCACCGTAGAGGCTGTCATGCCTCCCGATCCTTCCAAGGTAAGGAAAGACTGGAATTCTTCACTCTTTAGCTTTTTTTTTTTTTTTTTAGTATCTGCTATTGCTTTCATTCTTCCGTGTGAAAACCTTTTATGCTTAGTTTTTCACATTGTAATCAAAGCATTTTCTATTTCCATCAATCTTAGTTTGTTCCAGTTCTGCTCTTTTTCACTATATATCTGCTATGTTTCTCCTTTACATCTTTGCATTACCTAAGAAAATCATTCAGATTCTGTCTATATTCTTCTACCCCTGTTCTATGTCTTCTTTAGACCTGGCACACCAGTGATTTTCATCCATGTGTTTCTCATTGTTGTTTGAGCAGGATGAGGGGTTAATGTCAGGCCAGAGCAGTCGGTGGGGAGGAGGATATATATATATCTCTGTTTACATAAGCCTATAGCTTAGAGTTGCAAACAGGCCAGGGAGAAAAAAAAATACATTAAACAATGAAGGATGTACATCTCAACATATCTCATTTACTGCTTTTCCTATATATATGATGCATTTTGGCAGAACAGTCAGAATGAGCAACACAGCAGAAATAGGACAACTGCCAAGTGTCAGGTGCTGCGGGACAGGAGAGAGCTGTCCGGTCCCACTAATACATAGGTGACCTCATTGATCTATGGGTAAAGTTCACAGCAGCAAAGAGATTTATTACAATATGATGTTCACAGAGATCCCTTCCCATTTAAAAGTGGAATGAGAAATCATAAATTGACCTTAGTAAAGTTATTTTCTCTACAAAAAGAGGTGAAGTCTGTAAGAAATATGAAGCACATGATGCAATGCTGACTTTTATGGAAAATAAATACACATGGTTTGAAGTGGGAATAGATATGTCTGTTTTATTAACTTACCATAAGTATTCTCGTATGTCTGGGGAGTTTCACGGCCTTAAGTGAAAAGAGTGGGGAGGTGGTAAGATATCAGCAACATATCCCTTTTAGTCAAACTATTAATATCCAGATGTGGCTGCTTTATTAATGATGCTTGTAGGTTTGAATTTTGGAAGATATAGTGTACATGTTTACTTATTCATTTGATTTATGCTCACATTATGGACATTTAAGAAATGTCTGTATTAGTTACAGAAGATTTATAGAATACTTTAAATATTTACAAAAATAGCTGCGCTAAATTAAAAAGGGGATTGTAAATTCCACAAAGGTCATACTAGTGAGAATGGTGCATAGCACCTCTAAATGTAGTGCTTTTATTAACATTTTGAAGGTTAATTATTTTATTTAAATATATTTTATGTTTTTCATAGGTTCGTGCCTATGGACCAGGCCTTAAAGGTGGGTTTGTGGGCAAGCCAGCACCATTTGCAATTGACACCAAAGGAGCTGGTACAGGAGGTCTTGGTCTTACTGTTGAAGGACCATGTGAGGCCAAGATTGAGTGCCAAGACAATGGAGATGGTGTTCCTGTTCAGTATCCTACCTCCCCACAGAACCAGGGGAATATTCCATCAATATCTTGTTTGCAGAAGCCCACATTCCTGGTTCCCCTTTCAAGGCTGACATTCGACCTGTGTTTGATCCCAGCAAAGTGACAGCCAGTGGACCTGGTTTAGAAAAAGGGAAAGCAGGAGAAGTGGCCACCTTCACAGTGGACTGCTCAAAAGCTGGTGAAGCTGAGCTCACCATTGAGATTCTTTCAGATTCCGGTGCAAAAGCTGAAGTGCTGATCCAAAATAACAGCGATGGCACCTATAGCATCACCTACATCCCATCATGCCCTGGGGCTTACACAATCACCATTAAATATGGAGGACACGCAGTACCTAAATTCCCTGTCCGTGTAAACGTTGAACCAGCAGTGGACACCAGTGGAGTAAAGGTGTTTGGTCCAGGAGTAGAGCCCAGAGGTAAGTGATTATCAGTAAAATATATATTTGCAAAGTGATGTGAACATACTGATCTTCCCTAAACATTCGTGTTTGCTGTATTTATTGTGAGCTACATCTTTCAAAAGAACATAGCACTTTTGGGTTTGCCAAGAACTTGTTAGAAAGAACTGTGTCCTAGCACAACTTTTACATTCCAACCTGTATCAACACACAGTTAAAGACTGTAAACTATAGTAAATATATATGTTCCACATTTTTATATATTAAAGTTAATAGAATAATCAGGGATGATTTGACTGCTATTTAAGTACTAATAATCCACTTTAGGTATTTATTCTTTTCAAGCTTAGCAAAATCTGATGAAATGTGTTTTATACATATAGTAATGTGAACAGTAGTTTTAAATTAATACAAGACATGTATATGGTATAATATTAACATGAATCCCTTCCCCTGTTCAGGTGTTCTGCGTGAAGTCAACACAGAATTTACTGTTGATGCGCGGTCTCTAACCAAAACAGGTGGCAGTCATGTCACCACCCGTATCATTAGTCCTTCAAATGCTGTCACAGAAAGCTTTATATCTGACAATGGAGATGGAACCTATCATGTGCAGTATACAGCATATGAGGATGGTAAGATCCAAGCAAATGTATCACTAGCTTTGTAATGCTATATGAAATATCACCCTCAGCCCAACTCTTAGCCAGTTGCAAACAAAGCACTAAGATCATTCCATTGCAAATAAAGTTTAATTTAACTTTGAATTTCATGTGTTATGTATACTTCAGTGGAAAATAAGTAATATTCCTTAATTACAAATTACGTTTAGCATGTTTTGGTTGTTTACATTAAACAATAGTTAACTCTGATAAATGCCAAATTTGTGCAGTTTATTAACTGTTGGTAATAAATGTATGGTAAACAAAAATCCTTCAGCATATTAGAGGTAAACTGGGATCAAGCCAAATGTCTGATTATGTTACTGAAAATTATTTACTACACTTTCATATCTCTGGCCTTTCCTAGCGAATGCTTAGGACGTTCATGCATATGCTGAAACTATCAGTGTGGTAGATGTGCAACAATGTGTTTTTCATTAAAGTACAGTTTTCCTGAGTGGGCATATTCTTAAACAGTTTTATTTTCCTATGAAAGGGATTCATTTGGTAGAGGTTCTGTATGATGATGTTCCTGTACCTAAATGCCCATTCCGCGTTGGTGTAACAGAGGGCTGCGATCCATCCCGCGTGCGAGCATATGGCCCAGGGCTAGAAGGTGGACTGCTTAACAAGTCCAATCGTTTCACAGTTGAGACCAGGTGAGAGTTTATGATTATCATTTACACTGTGTAATAGATAGTTGCCTGATATTTTCACTTCATTTTGACAATTTTCTGTAGACTTCCATGTTAAATTTACTTTTCTTGAATTTTAGGGGTGCAGGCACTGGAGGTCTTGGACTTGCAATTGAAGGTCCATCTGAAGCAAAAATGTCATGTAAGGACAATAAGGATGGCAGCTGTAGTGTAGAGTACATCCCTTTCACACCAGGAGAGTATGATGTCAACATTACATTTGGTGGGCGACCAATCCCAGGTACTATCATTTTCTTGCTTGAATTCATGTATACGTAGCTTATTATTCATATTAGCACAGAGACAATACAATAAGGATTTGAGTAATTGTTAGTCTTTTCACCCTTGCAGGAAGCCCTTTCCGTGTGCCAGTGAAGGAAGTTGTGGATCCTAGCAAAGTGAAGTGTTCAGGTCCCGGTTTGGGGGCTGGTGTGAGAGCACATGTCCCACAGACCTTCACTGTAGACTGTAGCAAGGCTGGACTTGCACCATTGGAAGTGTTGGTACAAGGACCATCAGGTAAAGAAGAAAAAAACATGAAACATACTGCAAAAGTAATAAAAGAAGATTTTTACAGAAACAAAATATTAGCTGATCTCTCTTGTTGTAGGTCTTGCAGAGCCAGTTGATGTAAGAGATAATGGTGATGGAACTCACACAGTAAACTACACCCCAGCTTCAGATGGACCATACACTGTATCCGTTAAATATGCAGACCAGGAAGTACCAAGGAGGTAAGATTGTCACAATTCTTGAACATAGCCTGTGCTTTGTAATACTGTAAAAAAAATTAAGTGCAACAGCTACAACTAAATCCTTTTTAATTATTAGCCCCTTTAAGATCAAAGTGTTGCCAACCCATGATGCAAGCAAAGTACGTGCTAGCGGCCCAGGTCTCAACTCAGCTGGTATACCAGCCAGCTTGCCTGTGGAATTTACCATTGATGCCCGGGATGCTGGTGAGGGGCTGCTTACTGTTCAGATTCTGGTAAGAACATCTTACGTCCTTGTTTACAGCACTTCCTAAATGAACAACATGATTACTTCACCAAAAGGGAAGTTTCACTTACTAACTCTATAAAGAAATGTATGCTTTCAGATTAATAACTATGTATACTTTGCCAATAATAGCTTAAAACATTGCTTATCTAGAAACTCTAGCCTTGTCCTTATGGTATATTTATAAAAACAAGTGACCCCTAGTATGCTTCTCGAGCAGCTGAAAGATTTGTACATCCCGTTAGAATGAGCTCATTCATATTTAGGGTTTGCTGAGAACTGAAAGAAAATCACCATCTAGTGGTAGAATGGAGACATTGGAGTTAGTTTACTAAAGGCAAATAAACTGTTCACTTTGTGAGTAAAGATGCACCTTGCAAGGAAATTTTCCCTAGACCAGAAAGAATGACTTCTGACTTCCATCATCCAATCATGTGTAAACAAAAAATGCTGTTTTTTACGTTTTCCTTGCACGCGAATAGGTATTCTTTGCAAAATAATACTTCTCCACATTCCCCAAGCTCTAGGGAATATTCCCATTCAAAGTGCGAATTCCCCTGCAAAGGTAATAGCCTATTTTCCTTTAGAAAATCAACCCTATTGTTCAGCGAGTTATGTATAAGTATTATTTAAACACACATATATGTAAAAATAATATGCAATAATTGTTATTGTATTAGACAATGTAATATATTTTAGACAAATTCATCAGCATATGTAAAATATTACTATTTCAATGCAAAGGTCACTCTAGATGCAGCCATGCAAAATAAATGTCTCCATCAATAGGCAAAGAGAGGTATTAATACTGTAATTTAATACCGCTTCAAAAAAGCAGGCATTTTGAGAGGTTTTGGTGATGTCATATCTGATATATACAAGTAAATCAAAGAAATACTGATAGCTCAAATTAAATTAAATAGGTGGGAATGTAATGGAGAAGTTGGAACTCAGTATAAGCATTAATCCTCAGCAAACTGTCACCATCTGGCAAGGGTAAAATATTCACACAGGCATTAATGAGTCACACAGCTCTGTCATATGATATTCTACTGACAGAAAGCGTACCTTTCCATCTTTAGGACATGACTGGAAAAGTTAGAGAGACACTGATTTGTTTTATTCAGTAAGGTAAAGAGCAATGAGCAAAATGCAATAACTCGGAACAGCCAATCAGCAATATGCTTTAATTTAATAAACTGGAAGCTGGTGCTTGCAATGTGTAAGTACACTCCACATACACTCCATGCTCCATCCCTTCCCATTCATACTGCTTTGCTGAATAAGCCAGTAACAGTTCTGGTAACTTGGGTTGGGAAAGTTAAGATTTATTTATTAGATAATTGAAGCTAGTACTATTCAATTTAATTTTATTAGTGCTTTTGCAAACCATATGCACTTGTTAGATTTCCACATCACTGGCCATTTTTTAAAGAATACGATAAAGCATGGAGCTGCCAATCAAGACTCGGTTCACTTTTACAGAGATAAGAAAAAGATAACATTTGCTGGTTACTATTAACAGTGGTCCTATTTTCCCTGCATTGCAAGGTTTATAAATAAGAATTAGTGATATAAATGGGAAGCACAGTGGCTAAATGGTTAGCACTTCTGCCTGGCAGTACAAGGGTCGTTAGTTCGAATCCCAGCCACGGCACCACCTGCCTGGAGTCTGCATGTTCTCCCTGTGCCCGTGTGGGTTTCCTCCGGGTTCTCCAGTTTCCTCCCACACTCCAAAGACATGCTGGTAGGTTAATTGGTTCCTGTGTAAATTGGCCCTACTATTTGTATGTATGAATGTGAGTTAGGGACCTTAGATTGTACACCCCTTGAGGGTTAGGGATTGATGTGAACGTGCAATATATATATGTAAAACGTTGCGTAAATTGATGGCGCTATATAAGTACCTGTAATAAATAAATAAAGACCAAGTTGTGTATATAATTCAAATATTATCCAGAAAATATGTCCAGTTTTGACCATAGACATGACATTTCATGACACATACTTTATCTTTTAGGACCCAGAAGGAAAGCCAAAGAAAGCCAATATTCGTGGAAATGGTGATGGTACCTACACAGTATCCTATGTACCAGACATGGCAGGAAGATACACTATTACAATTAAGTATGGCGGAGATGAAATTCCCTACTCTCCTTTCCGTATTCTTGCAGTACCTACTGGAGATGCCAGCAAGTGTTTAGTGACAGGTGAGAGGCGGTATAGCTTTTGTTTTTAGAACTTTGTGAACTGAGGGTTTAATTTTTACATTTGCAATGTCTAATAAAATTCTTGTATTCATTTTTGTTTCCACAGTGTCTATTGGTGGGCATGGATCAGGTGAGCCATTTACAAAGCATATTTATTAACTCTGAGAATATCTACAGTCTAAACAATAGCCATAGTCAATTTATTGGTTTCCTTAAAACCAGTCTGAAGGTTTGATAATTTTGCATATGAACAGTTCCGTTGTTTCAGACTAGCAACTGACATCCCTTCTCTTGGCCATTAGGAGCCTGTCTTGGACCCACCATTCAGATCGGGGAAGAAACTGTCATTACAGTAGATGCTAAAGCTGCAGGAAAGGGAAAAGTGACCTGCAAGGTATCCACACCTGATGGAGCAGAGCTTGACGTGGATGTAGTGGAAAACCAAGATGGCACTTTTGATATTTACTACACAGCACCAGAACCTGGGAAGTATGTCATCACCATCCGCTTTGGTGGGGAACAGATTCCCAACAGTCCGTTCCATGTGCTGGTAAGTTTCCAATACAAAGCAAGAAATATTCTGTGATACAGCACTCCCCATGTAATCAGACCTTTCCTTTTCATGTATTTAATGTCTTCCCTCCCTTCTGCCAGGCTTGTGATACCATTCCCATCATAGAGGAACCATGTGACACTGTGCAGTTACAACAGCCCTATGCTGCACACCTTCCTGGCTATCCAACTCACTGGGTATAAAACAGAGATATCCCTGCAATTATACTGCCCTGTCACTTTAAATCTTTAAAATCTCCACTTTATTTCATTTTCTCTATGCAGCTCATTTCACTGCTTCTTCCTCTATTAAAACCCAATATTCCTATGTTTAATACATTTAGCCTCGGTATCAAAGAAACGTAGTCCTTGTAAAAGTTACATTTTTCACAGCAATGCAAAATTACCCAAAAACGAAAAGCACAGTTGGCTGAACCATCTGTATTTTGTTTTTAGGTTAATCCTGTATGGTACAGGGAGCTTATTTTATCACCAACCTGTTTAGCACTGGATGTCCCATATCAATGATCTAGGGGGATTAGGACACAGGAAGGGAAGTAACTCCCTAATGTAACATTGAGTTTACAGACAGCTTTACTCCTCCATTTTACATTGTTCTTTTAATAATCTTTTCATGTTTATTATTAGAACTCTGCTTACTATTATTACTCAGTCTTTTTTTCCAGCATATGTTTTCCTCTGTCTAGATTTAACTATTTGCTATAAAATGAGTTATCTTTGCTATCCTTTTGCATTTACTCATGCCTTTATACTTTAGCACTGCTTCACGTTTGTGTTTTAATTGTTTGACTAAATTCTTGTGTTTTTCTGATCTCTGTAGGCTACAGAGGAGCCAGTTGTTCCAGTAGATAATTTGGACACCATGCTTAGGCCATTCAACCTGGTCATTCCTTTCACTGTGCAGAAAGGAGAAATTACAGGTACGATCCTTGCAGTACAGCACATTCTAGACCATTTTACACCAACTGTTTTTTCAATTGTTATACTGCTCAGAAAAACAAATTTATACTACTGCTTACATTCAGCAATGGGTTCTTTATATCTATGCTTTGGTGCCATGGTGCGTGCAGTCGTATGTTCTGAAACCCACACACCATATACAGCATTATGTACTCACATAAGGTGTAGTTAGACCACACTGAACCTGCACATTGAAAATTGCAGGTCTGTTTGTTCTGCAGAATTCAGCAGTAATTTAGTCCACACAGTCCACATCTTATTACTCTTACAAATTACGCATGAAACACCATTTACATTTTTTAAATTTTAACAAGTAGTTCATAGATGATGAAATTATGGTTGAACTTGTGATTTTAATCAATTTGAATGCAGCCAAATTTCCTATTACATTTAAATTAGCACAAAATTTTTTTTTTTTTTTTTCGTGATACTTTCAAGGTACTTGCATACACCAGTGTTCATTCCACACATCACATATCAGTTGTTCTTAGGTGTTATTTGTTCTACTATACCAGTATTTGTCAACCTTTTTTCAGTCAAGGCACCCTTGAAATTCTCCAAAACCTTGAGGCACCCTTTAAAATTCTGCACAATCTTGATGCACCCATTACAGAATGTAAAAAAACTAAACTAATATTTTGGCACAACGCAACTTTAGAGGTGATTTATTCTTCCGAAGCAAATACACTGTTGCACACTGGTACTGGCTAGTATTCCATTGTTTCTCTTTTCCTCAGTTTCTCTCTCTTACTCAGCTAATGTGACCCCAGTGTTGATGGAGAGGGGCAGGGGAGGGGCAAACAGGGATGCTGTGCTGGTGCCTGATGTTCTTCTTATGACAGTATTGGTTGTTATGTCACCTGTAGCTAGAAGGTTGTAATGGTGCACAATGAAAACCTGTGTGTTTGAGTAACTAAAAGGCAGGCTTGATCCACCCGCTGACTTGTATACAATTCTTTGGGCAATTTATAGACATTTTGCCAAGACACCCCTGAAAAAACATGAAGGCACCCCAGGGTGCCTGGGTACCCTGGTTGAAAAAGGCTGTACTATACTAATAGCTTGTCTTCCTTTGCTTCTGAATTTAGGGGAAGTCCGTATGCCTTCTGGCAAGACTGCTAGGCCCAATATTACTGATAACAAGGATGGAACCGTTACTGTTAAGTTTGCTCCAGTGGAGAAAGGATTACATGAGATGGATATAAAGTATGATGGAAATCACATTCCAGGTAACTTATTTCATGTATAACCAGTAGAGTATCTGTGTGACCCTGAGTTACAGATGTTTTATCATTACATTGGTAGATTATTTTAGATTGTTAGCCCTTAATGGTAGGGTTCTCATTTTTGGTCATGTCATTGTGTATTTTGTAATATTATTGATATAGCCTCTATATGTCCTCACTCTCTTTGGCATGGGAGAAAATTTGAAAGCTATATCATTTCACTTAAACAAATAAACATAATAGTGATGTGCTTTCAATATAACAAAGTGTCACTTTATCATATTGAAAGCTCTTCACCATTTATTTGATTTAAGTTTATTTAGCACATTGTGGTGAGTGCATAGTGAGGTGGGAGCTGCTTTCTTATCTTATTTTATTATTTATTAATAGCGCTGACGCCGCTGAGGTTTATTTTAATTTTATTTCACTATTAGTTTTGATATTACTTATGAAGTATTTCAGTATGATTCCTAAATAATGCACATCTACATATATTAAATATTACTGGGCCGATTAAACAAAGGAGTAGATGATGTTTACACAATAAATTGTGTAAATATTTAATTAAATTATCCATTCAATTGAAAAGCACATGTCTGTTCACTTTAATTATCAAATTATGTGCAGAAGAAATAAGTAAACATGAATTTGCTTTTCATGTGATTAGATAATTAAAGTGAATTTTCACACAATTTTTTGCATGAAGATTCCCAACTCACTTAGTAAATCAACTTTTAAGTATAACACAAGTCAAATCCACCATGTTGATGATACAAATGCCATATTTGGAACATTTTGTCAAACTAGGCATTATAGTAATGTTATAAACATAAACTGTCATTCTATTTTCAGGCAGCCCACTGCAGTTTTACGTAGATGCCATTAACAGCAGACATGTGAGTGCCTATGGACCAGGGCTTAGTCATGGAATGGTAAACAAGCCAGCCACTTTCACTATTGTCACTAAGGATGCTGGAGAAGGTATATTTTTTTATATTGGTGTCTGCTAGTTTTTTCTTTAGTGACCTTTTGTTATCAAGATGTGACCTTTGAAGTATAAAAAATTAATTGAAATTCTTTAAACTCTTTTGAGGTGGCTTATCACTGGCTGTGGAGGGTCCCTCAAAGGCTGAAATCACCTGCAAAGACAACAAAGATGGTACCTGCACCGTGTCTTACTTGCCCACAGCTCCTGGAGACTACAACATAATTGTACGCTTTGATGACAAGCATATTCCAGGCAGTCCTTTCACAGCTAAGATAACTGGTGAGCTAATAAAGATATTAGGGAATTAAAAAAAAAATTGTAGGCATAACATATTTCATTTAAAATTTTTGACACATGGTAAAAAGCTCTGTATAGAAACCAGTCAGTTTCCAGGTTTTATTGTCAAAGCCTAATTGAACAAGCTGAAGTTAGAAGCTGATTGGCTACCATGCACACCTGCGCCAGATTCTGAGTGTACCAGTTTTAGTAAATCCCCCCCAAAGTTATTAGTGGGGAGTTCCTAAATATTTCAGTTACCACACTGTCCCTTTCTTCCTTACCAGGTGATGATTCCATGAGGACTTCTCAACTCAACGTGGGAACTTCAACAGATGTGTCCCTCAAAATCACAGAGACAGATCTGAGCCAGCTTACTGCCAGTATCAGAGCTCCATCTGGTATTGAAGAGCCCTGTTTGCTCAAGAGGCTGCCAAACAGGCACATTGGTAGGTGAACATGGAGGGAAATTGAGAACCAAATTTCAGTTGTGTTACTTAAAGTGGAACTTTAATTAGAAAATAAATTTTGCTAGATCACTGCATGCTGGCTCCTTTTGCAGGTATAGCTATGTAAAACATTAAATATAAGTACCTATACTGTTTAAAAGCCAGTAATACACGGTCTCATCCTTCTTTGCACATGCTCATTTCCATTTTCAGGCACTGTGTTGACTTTCTGAGGTCGATCTGCTGATATTCTGAAGATCAAAGTGGAACTAAACCTATTGATTTAACAGTTAAAAAAAAAACAGTTACATTCCCGGAATGCCAGGAATGCTGTCAAATTCATTTGTGTTCTCAACCAAACTGTCAAACCATCAAATGACTGGTGTTATAATTGATCATATGTGCAGCACCATGGCAGTTGCAGATCAAACAGATGGCAGCTTCCCTGGCTGAAAAGGATAGGAGGGTTTAGTTCTACTTTAATTGCTGCTCGGGGCTTCAACAAAATGGCAGCCTCCAGCAAGAAGAAACAGGAACAATGCTGGAGGAAATTTACAACGCACACTAATTTTGTTAGCATAATTATTCATGTGGAATATATGTTCCTTGCTAACGAACATTATTTTTTATCAATTGTTATGAGTAAAGTTCCGCTTTAAGGAATTGCATTAGTTCCATTGGAATCTCACATGTGCCTTGCCTTATTTTTGAAAACCACAGAGATATAGTTTAAGTAACATCAACAATTCATCATAGTACATTATATATATTGGGTAATCCTCTTTAACTGCTGTGTCTCTCCTACTGCAGGAATCTCCTTCACCCCAAAAGAAGTGGGAGAACATGTGGTGAGCGTGAAGAAAAATGGAAAACATGTCACTAATAGTCCATTCAAGATAATGGTTGGACAATCTGAGATTGGAGATGCAAGTAGAGTGAAAGTATCAGGAAAGGGATTGCTGGAGGGTATCACTTTTGAGGTGTCTGAGTTCATAGTGGACACCAGGAATGCAGGTATATATACACTTATATTTTTATAAATACTTATATTATTTTTTTCACTACTTCATTTCTGTTACTCATCTGTTTGTGGTGACTGCATCTGACTCTCGTTCCTAGGATACGGAGGTTTAGGGTTATCCATTGAAGGTCCAAGCAAAGTGGATATAAACTGTGAGGACGTGGAAGATGGAACATGTAAAGTGTCTTATTGTCCAACTGAGCCTGGCACATACATTATAAATATCAAGTTTGCAGAGAAGCATGTACCAGGTTAGTGTGCAGTGGTACATACATTTGTCACATCATTTTATTCATCTCAGTAACTTAAACTGAAGCTAAATCCCTCTTTGCCCTAAATGAGTACCGGGGCCACATAACATCTTCTCATCAACAATGCTTCACATGCTATGAAAAATTAGGAGCATTGAAGTCCCTTATACGTTTACTATAACCAAGCTCCGATTGGTAAAAAAAAAAGGTGGAAAAAGCAAGCCGTTTTTAAGAAGGGACCAAAATGGCCTTGAGCCCTAGAATACTTTAATGTTGTCTGCAAAATTTTAAGAGCACAAAAAACAAAATGATTTCCAACCACCACATACCTGGAATATCCAAACAGAAAAAAACATATTAGTTACTTTTAAAAAATATTTAGACTGGTCGGGTAACTAAGGTAATATTTTACTACCATGTGTTATTTCCTAATTCCTATTATCAAAAATTACTTTTCAGTTTATTATTGGTTTTATCAAACTGATCAGCTGAATTACTGCAGGAACTTTACATTATATTTTTTTTGCAGTATTTTGAATCCTAAATTATGACACCTTAAAATATTTTTTGGCTGATAATAATTTTGAGTTTCCATAAGGTGTCTATTGCAGAGAACAGAAAAATAGCAATTCCATTCATGAGAAATAAAGACTTGTAGTGATAATCTATGTCAGTTGTTATGACAACAAGTAACTCTCACCTAGCCAACATTTTTTAAGTGGATTTATAATTTTGATAAGAAAAATTAGCATATAATAAAATAACTAAGGTACCTCAAATAATTCATACAGTGAACTGGCCCTACTGTGTATATTAAAACAATTTATATGGGGAAATCTAGTCCTAAATTCTTATTTTTTTTCAATATATATATATATAAAAGTCTATACACTTACACTGGAGTCTTGTGTAATTTACAGGAAGCCCATTTATGGTAAAGGTGACCGGAGAAGGACGTATAAAGGAAAGTATTACAAGAAGACGCCAGGCCCCATCCATTGCAAGCATTGGCAGCACATGTGACCTCAATTTGAAGATTCCAGGTATATAGACATGGAACCCAAGAAACCAGTTACCAGTAAGGCAGATCCAGTTGGCTGTGTCAGAACTCTTTGACTATATGAAAAAAGCACATATGTGATGTTGCACACAAACTGTTAGAAACAGCATACTAATTCAAATTGCAATTTATACTTAAAAGCAAATGAATAAAGTGAGTTCATATATAATAGTCTGCACTAAATGGATTATTTGTTGATTGATATTATTTTCGCTAAAGGCAACTGGTTCCAGATGGTCTCAGCCCAAGAACGCCTCACTCGAACATTCACCCGCAGCAGCAGTCACACATATACACGTACTGAACGTACAGAGATCAGTAAGACCCGTGGTGGTGAAACAAAGAGAGAAGTACGTGTGGAGGAGTCAACACAGGTTGGCGGTGATCCTTTCCACAATGTCTTTGGTGACTTCCTGGGCCGTGAGAGTCTGGGCTCTTTTGGAAGCATTACACGCCAAGAAGGTGAAAGAAGCATTCTCTACTACAACACTCTTCTTTTATATTGTATGAAAGAAGGATTTCTTAATCAAATTTTATTTTTCTTCCAGGTGAACCAGGAGTCCAGGAAATGACAGCACAAGTGACTAGTCCCTCTGGAAAGACAGCAGATGCAGAGATTATTGATGGGGAAGATAGCACATACAGTGTGCGCTTTGTCCCACAGGAGATGGGAGCTCACACCGTTAGTGTCAAGTATAGAGGCCAGCATGTCCCAGGAAGTCCTTTTCAGTTTACAGTTGGACCCATGGGTGAAGGTGGTGCCCACAAGGTCAGGGCAGGAGGCACTGGTTTGAAAGGGGAGTTGCAGGTGTTCCAGGTAAGAAGTAATCATTTAAACACAGACATAAACATAATATATTAAGCTCTTAAACATTTTGCATGTTCCCGGTGAATTAACACTTTTAATCCCCACAGCTGAATTCAGCATATGGACTCGAGAAGCTGGTGCTGGTGGTCTGTCCATTGCAGTAGAAGGTCCAAGTAAAGCAGAGATCTCTTTTGAAGATCGCAAGGATGGATCTTGTGGCGTGTCCTACATTGTGCAGGAAGCTGGTGAGTGCATTCATTTTAGCAGTAAATTGAATCATTTTAAGGTTCTGGGATTTTAAAAGCATTTACTAACTACATTGTGAGACAACTGTCACATAAATCTCATGTGTAATTTTTTCTTAGTTCCTTAAGCAAAGTTGGCATTACAGTAACAGTAAGAAGTATTGCATTTTGTTAAGTTGTATTTAACAATGCAATTCCATAAGGTACATGCTATAATTGACAATTATTCCTTATATGGTTACCCAGGTGACTATGAGGTGTCCATTAAATTTAATGATGAACACATCCCTGACAGCCCCTTTGTGGTACCAGTGGCCTCACGTTCTGATGATGCTCGCAGATTGACTGTTACCAGCCTACAGGTAAAGAGCTTAACTGTTAATCTATCTGGTAATTCTCTGTGCAATATTTATTTTTCAAAAGAATAGTTTTAGTTTACATTTTTATTCATTGCCTTTGATAGTATAGTATCTTTGATAGAGAAACTGTCCTTGAGTATTTTATTTAAATGATGAAATATTTGAACTGTTCTGTACATATTACTTTAGTTTCAATAAACGGTGTTATCCCACAGGAGACAGGACTAAAGGTAAACCAACCAGCTTCATTTGCAGTGCAGTTGAATGGGGCTCGTGGAGTGATTGATGCCAAAGTGCACACACACCATCTGGCGTGGTGGAGGAGTGCTATGTGTCTGAAGTGGATAGCGGTAAGTGAAGAGACTCAAAAATACAATAGTAACTTTAAAAAAATTTCAATAATTTCACTTGTATCACCACAACGTTTCTACTATTCTGCCTTAGATAAATACTCAATCCGTTTCATTCCTCGTGAAAATGGGGTGCACTCCATTGATGTAAAATTTAATGGGCGCCATATACCTGGCAGTCCTTTCAAGATCCGTGTAGGAGAACAGAGTCAGGCTGGTGATCCAGGTCTTGTTACAGCATATGGACCAGGCCTTGAAGGTGGAGTCACAGGTGAGAGCCACGAGTCCATTTATATAACTAACTCATGTTAATATCTTTTGTGAGTGATTTGGATGAAAAATCCATAGTTTTTACACAAAGTCATTCAATTTTCTACTGAATAGTAAATCATGCTAAAGATGTAACATGCACTTTTTGTAGCTGTGCTCTAACAAGCAAGCTTCTTAATTTCTGTGACAATTCTGCCTTATAACATTCATGTGTAGATTAGTAGCTAACAAAAAGCCCTCTTTTAACTTTTCCTTTTTAACAACCTTTGAAGCTACCCATCATAACACCATGCATTCAATGACAGCTATAACATAAGTGGTGAATGAGACACCATAAAAAGTTCTTTGCTACTCATACAGACAGGAGCCCTAACCATGTCTTCCCTACCTTACACAGGGAGACCCTCTGAATTTATAGTCAGCACCTTGAACGCTGGGGCTGGCTCTTTGTCAATGACAATTGATGGGCCTTCCAAGGTGAAGTTGGATTGCCAAGATTCTTCTGAGGGCTATAAAGTCTCATATACTCCCATGGCACCTGGAAACTACCTAATAACCATCAAATATGGAGGACCCCAACATATAGTGGGAAGTCCTTTCAAGGCCAGGGTGACTGGTGAGTTAGAGAAATCCAAAGTACAATGTGATGAAATAAAATTCAAATAAAACTGGTTCTTGCAGGTTTAGATGGAACATTTCTTTGAAAGAAGATGAGTAGCCTTATTTAAGTCTGCAATCTATCATCTGACATTTCATCTTTCCTTCCCAACAGGTGCTCGGCTATCAGGTGGTCATAGTCTCCATGAAACATCTACAGTACTGGTGGAAACAGTCACCAAATCTTCAGCTTCTGTAGGAGGTTATGGTATGGCAGTACCTAAATTTGCATCTGATGCCTCCAAAGTGGTGTCCCGGGGCCCTGGACTTTCAAAGGCATTTGTAGGTCAGAAGAACACTTTTACTGTAGACTGCAGTAAAGCAGGTAAGAGAGAAATCCTTAAAATGGTGTGTAAAATTGTATTTGTACTTAGATTATTTGGATGTATATGTATGTTTCTTCTTTCTCAATGTATAAAGTAACTTTTATCAAATCAGTAAAGGACGAAATGAAGAGTTTTATTTTCTGACAGTAAATGCTATGTGATAGTCTTTTCAATATTATGTGCACAGTTTCTAAAGAATCCATACCTGCCAATAATAAATTGTCTGTAATTTAGCTGGGTTCCACAAGGATGGATCCAAAAGTGTTCCTTTCCCAAAATAGGCACGGTTGGGGATGATTTTGCAAGGAATGGTAAGGAAGGGTATTAGGTTCTATGACAGTGAACTTTATGTTCAGAATTGTTTATAGGGTATGACAGCAGGCTATATATACAGAAGAGATGTACAGAATGTATGAGAGCAGATTATATGTACAGGAGAGGCATGAAGAGGATATGACAGTGGGTAATAAATGCAGAAGACAAGATACAGAATGTGTATGACAGAAGACAGTACATATAGGAGAGAAGTGCTGAGGATATGACATTGGGCAGTATGTGCCAGAGGGAAGAGAGGAGGGTATAACAGTGGACAAAATGTGCAGGAAAGGAGGGTCAGAGAATATGATGGCAATTTGCTTTTTGTTTGATTGTATTGGGTACTATCACACAGTTTGATGTTTTTCTAAAATGTTTATTATTGATATCACACAGGTACCAACATGCTGATGGTTGGTGTCCATGGGCCAAAGACACCATGTGAGGAAGTTTATGTGAAGCACATGGGAAATCGATTGTACAATGTGACCTATACAGTAAAGGACAAAGGAGACTACATCCTTATTGTCAAGTGGGGAGACCAGAATGTTCCAGGAAGTCCTTTCCAAGTTTCAGTCCCTTGAGAGACTGCACTACAGCCAATTACCCTAAAGGCCTCTCAAAAAGCCTAATTATTCGCCAATGAAGGACAGACTTTACCCTTTTTATGCAAATGCACTGATTTAAAAAAACTGTTATAGCATAAATTCACTAAGTGCCTTTGTCTGTCCAAATTAAGGACTTTCCCATAAAATGATGACACGAAAAACGCTGGGTGTAGGGAGAAGGGATGCAAGTGTGCACATCAGCCACCATGTCCTTTCTGCCTTTTACATAATGTTCCTTTATATTATGGTTGGTGTTTTATTTTCTAAAGTTGCTACCTGTTGTGTTTTATATGCGCTTTATTTGTTTTGTATTTTTATTTCAGGGGAGGGGGGTATTTTAGGGGTGAGAGGTATCAGAGGTCATAGGGTCAGTGTACAGAAGCTGTAGGGTCAGTGGTGACTACTGTGTGTATTGGTATTTTCTGCAGTACATTTATTGGTCTTTCTGTTATATTGTCATTACAGTTATGGGTCAGTTCTTCACCACTATTTTCGTTTTTCTAATCATGCAATAATTTTTAATACAAATGTCCAACCAACCTTAGTTCACTTCCCAACTTCTCCCCAATCCCCAAGGAATTTGATTAATTTAGGGGTGGGCCTAACAACATATCAACATTAGATATTCAAATTTGGGGAGTTCCACTGCAGAATCACACATGCACTAATACAAGCTTCTCTTGCGTTCCTTTCTTCCAAAGAAATTGGAAAACCCTCAAATGTTTATTTTTTTGTCCACATTTGTTGTGGGTAAGTACCCTTGATATACTCAAGACCAAGGTACGCTTGTAGGTTTAAAGCTGCTCGTATCACTGAATTTTCAGTCCACTGAAGTCAATATGGAATCTTTAAAACTATTTCAGCTTACAGTAAGTTGAAAGTTATGACGTTTTGAAACTCTTTTTCTTCTGCACATTTCGACTCTTTGACCTCTGACCTGTCCAGTCTCTAAAGAATATGACTGGTTGTCATAGCACTGTTATAAGGGCGGAGCCAATATCACATGGTGCTTTACCATGTGACTGCATTTTATAGATATTTTATATGCATCAAATTTATTATTAAAAAGTTTGTTTGTTACAAATGTTCCAACTGGTGCGTATAAAGAAAATAAAGATGTATTGCTAAAGTGGTTATGTGTACAGTGATTTATTCTCAAGAGTAGAGTTTTATTTTTAATTTGGGTTTTATTAGAACAAATCTGTCACATAATTACATTGTTGAAGAGTCTATAGAAACCATGCAGAAAATCTATTTTACATCTATGCTGCTCTTGTTGAGTAATCAGGAGTGAATAGTCAGTGATTCTTAATATTATTATTATACAGGATTTATATACAGTAGATAGTGCCAACAGTTTTGCAGTGTTTTGGAGGGAGACATTACAGTTACAATTAGGAATCAGAGGGCCATCTTATTAGTGCTTACAATCTAAAAGGAAGAGTCACGTGATAAAAAAAGTACTAACTGTGGGGATGAGCTGAGAAAGTAAAAGTATAGTTTATTAGCTGGAGGCAGGATAAGCCTCTCTAAAAAGATGGGTTTTCAGAGATAGAGTAGGAGTAGGACAGAGTAGGAGATAGTTGGACAGATTGTGTAAGGAGTTCCAGAGGATGGGAGAGGCTCTGGAGAATTTCTGGCGCTGTGCTACTTTAACTGACAATTGCACGGCTATACAATGCTGCACCCAAATTAAATTTATGTAATTTTTTTCCCACCAATAGAGCTTTCTTTCGGTGGTATTTGATCGCCTCTGCATTTTTTATTTTTTGCACTATAAACAACAAAAGACCGACAATTTTGAAAAAAAAAACACCTATATTTTTTACTTTTTGCTATTAAACATGTTCAGTAAAAAAAAATTTTAAAAATCAAATTTCGTCATAAATTTAGGCCAAAATGTATTCTGCTATATGTGTTTGCTAAAAAAATCCCAATACGTGTAAATTAATTGGTTTACGTGAAAGTTATAGCATTTACAAATGGCGGTATACATACTGGAATTTTTTTATTTTTACTAGTAAGGTTTAGGTTGATTACAAACAAAAATGTAATCACAATACTGCTAACACACATTTGCTGAATCCGGCCCATCAAGCCATGTGGCACCTGCAGCTGCGGTGCCCCCCTCGTTTCTGAACCCACCTTGTCTCAGCAGTCGGCAACAGAGAGAAGGACAGGACTTCTACACCAGATACTCAGCTTCTACGTGCAGTCATAGAGGCTCGTCTTTGACAACCCTCTCATCAGCAGAGAGGGGGACAGAACCCCCACAGATCCTGTGCCTCTCTGTGCAGCCCCAGTACTCCCTCCTATCTGCCTCTCCTGGTCTCAGCATTCAGCAGACTCCAGCAACTAACTGTAGCCCTCCTCTGGTCCTCCTCCAGACCCTGCACTTTCTACTTGCCAGCTGAACCCCCGCTTGGGGAGGACCTCTTCCTGGAACATGCAAGCAGCACAAGATAAGGGGGGGGAAAGAACAAAAAAGAGGGCGCACAGGCCTGTGCACTCTTGAAGTCTGATGTAAGAGGGAGTGGGATGTACCCGTGGACTGTTACTCAGCGCGGTGTTGAGCTGTTCAACCATATATGCTGATGCAGCCACCTACAATGAAATTGAGTTTTTTGAGTTTGTGCTAACACCAAGGGGGTGAGAAGTCTGATGATAATATTGTTTAGCCCACAATGAAATAAGGAAGAATTATTGTTTTTTTATTCTCCTTCGACTGTATATGGTCAGAAATGTCAACTAGGGGCTTGTGATGTTTGTGCAGTCTTTCCAGCTCTATGTTTGTGTACATAACAAAAGTTGAATGTTTACAGTAAATGTGGAAAATAAGGAAAGGTTTTGTTGTTTTGTTTTTTTTTTAAATGTGCAGTAGTTTACCAAAAAATGACAATGTCCTCCAGTAATATAAACAAAACTCTGCTGATGTCTAAACAGGCATGAGAAGCCATCACTAGATCATCCTAGGAATGGTGGTCAGTCACTGTGAACAATGTGACCTGTCAAACGACAGAGCGGGGACATTTATTACAGCTGGAGCAGGCAGAATTTGGAGCAGCCGTGCATGGCAACCAATCAGCTTCTATCTTCAGCTAGTTCAGTTAAACGCATAATTCACCTTTACCAATAAACGCCTAAATGAGGGACATCTGTAGATTAAAACAAACAGTGCAACTTTGACCACAGGTAAATAAGGCCCTTGCTTGAAGTGTAGGCCACTTATGTTTCTCATGAAGCCTGACTGGAAAATGTATACGTTGTCACTAAGGATGTTGTTGCTAAGAGAAGCCTAGTGTTACTGCTCACTTTTACCATTAGAGGAGTGAGCTCTTTCTCTGAGTCAAACCTTTTTGCATGCACTTTCTCTCCACTGATGCAATAACTTTGAGCTCAGCATTTGAGAGCTCACTCTTGTGATGGTAAAGGTAACACTATGCTTCTCTTAGCAACGTCCTTAGCAACATCCTAGACGTTTCCCAGTCAAGCTATATGGGGTACATAAATGGCCTACACCTACAGCAAGGGCATTATTCAACTTTGTTAAAGCTGCACAGCTTCTTTTCATCTACTTAATCCTTTAAACATTGAAAATGAAAGATCAAAGCTGATTGGTTGCCATGCACAGCTGCTTGAGATTCTGTCTCCTCCGGTCTTAAGCAGCCCATAGATTATGCAGTTTTCTTTCCTTCCACCATGGGTAGAAAAAAATAAAATTGCTTGATTCCCTCCTGCAGTGCTATTGTGCTCTGTGGGGAGCCCTCCCTTCCAGCAGAACACAATGATCACTACTGGTGGCTATAATTATTGCGTGAAAAAATTTCTGACAGGTTGGCTGTACTGAAGTCGAACAATGGATCAACTTTGAATCTATGGGGATGGGTGATCTTTCTTGCTGCCAGCATCCTTCACTATACTAGAAAATCCTTTTGCATATAATCCCCATGAGACGTTTTAGGCCGATTAACTAGTGTATACATAGTTCATAAAAGGCTAATATGCCATCTTTATTTTAAAAAGTTCTTTAGAAGATACATAATAAATACATACAGACAATATGCAGAATAATCCCATGATCACTGTGCTACTCTGCATACTAGGGCAGGGGGTCTCCAAACCAAGAGACAGTTTACCATCCTTTAGACTATAGGGGGGCCAGACTGTGGTCAGTAAGAGTAGAAAATGCCATTGCATCACTGGGAATAAACAATGCCTGCCACACAGGAGGGGGAGAGGACAGTTCGGAGACTAGTTAGGAGTAAGCAGGAATTCTAGGGCATCATGCACACTAGGCCTTTGCTCAGCTCTTCTGAACATCTTTTCTCCTGACAGGAATAAAACAGCTTAAAAGAGAGCCTAAAGTGTTTTTCAAACGTGTTTATGTACATTGAGTTGTTGGGTGTTCATTCATTCCATTGGCCAGAATATAAATTTATTCTGACAACTGAAATGAATACTCAAGAGCTAAATATCCCTAGTACTTGCCTGCATTTACACATGTTTAGGCGTTAGACGTTTCTCCTTCTAAAATGCTCCTCTCCCAAATGCGCAAGGTTTTTTTTTCTGCCTCTAAACGCCTGTAAATGCCTATGTGTGCATGAATACCTAGGCTAACATGAGAGGTGTTTAGAGGCAGAACAAAATGCTAAATTCTCTATAACCACTTCGCCTCTCACACCTATGCATCCCTAATGCACCAGAGCAATTTTTACATTTCTGATAAGGACCTGTATAACTTTGCCATTACTTAAAGTGTTACTGAACCCAGGACCCTGCATCCACTATATGTGGTCTCCCACAGTACACAGAACATGGAAATTCTATTATTTTAGTAAATATAAGCTGCTAACTACTTTTTCTCATCAGACGTTAGAGCAGTCTCATGGCTTCTATCAGTGTTCAGCAGAGCATTAGCTAAAGTTTGTAGGAGTTTTCTTTCTGCTACACAGAACATGATAGTGCAATTATTTTAG